TCGGAGGCCTCCAGAAATCTCTGAGCGGACCGGTCCCAAATCCCTCGAATCAAACCTCTGCCGAAAGCATGATCTTCTTTCCTGGACCTGGAATGGTAGACCTGAAGGTTTCGAAGAAACAGGTCCTGGGGCCTCGCGGGCGGCGCGCCCGGCTTCCTCAGCGCCTCAAGCGCCTCCAACAGCGGCGCTCCGGCGTCGTTGACGTGCTCCGAGGTGTTCAGCTCGGTCCTCCTGGCGCCGAGGACGTGCCCTGCTGCTGCTGCATCTGCGCCTGCATGTTCATCATCATGGCCGCAATCCTCCCGAGATCCTGGTCCGAGAGGCTCGGCGCGGGCAGCTGCGCGCGCATCTCCCTCTCCTGATTGACGAAACTCTGGACCGTGCCCCACACTCTCTCGTTGGCCTTGGCCTGGGTCTCGATGCAGATCTTCATGTCGGACAGCGCGATCTGCATCTCGGTCGTCGTCATGGGCCGAGCCTCCGAAGGTCCTGGTGGTTTGGCCGTGGCTCCGGCTGCTCGGCTCGCCGCCCTCTGCGCCGAGTAGTCGATCGCCCGGCCTCCTGAGGTGATCATCGTCGGCGCGGCCGCCTCCAGCTGCGCCGGGGAGGGGTGCTTGTAGGGCACATACCCTTCGCTCACCGGGACGTAAAGGTTCTGGGGAACCGGAGGGATCCCCGCCGCCGACACCTTCGCCGTAGGTCCGCTCCCCTCCTGGATGCGTCGAGCTCGCTGAGGCTCCGGCCCCGGCGTCCACGGATCGGGTGGCAAGATCGGGAAATGGCCGTTCTTGTACGGCTCCACCATCCGAGCTGCCTTCGCCTTGGCATCCGCACGGTTGACCTTGCCCGCCTGCTTGTCGATCTTGCGCTTCTCGGCCTCGAAGATCTCCTCCGACGTCTTGTCCCTCAGGAAGAGGCGCTGGGAACACTGCCGGCAGTGCTCGTAGACGCTGGTGGAGTTGCTCCCCGACTTGCGAGCCCACGGCGGGTGAGGACACGAGTCGGCGGGGAAGCTCTCGACGAACGTCTTCGGAAGCGTCTGGCAGAGGTGCTTCATTCGGCCCAGGATGTACGTCATGCTGACCAGGCGCAGGTACCAGTTGCGCCAGCGATACTCGTACTTCCCTAGCTGCATGCGGCCGTCCTGGAAAGGCCCCTTCTCGTTCTCCTGCATCCCCTCGTCCCTCAGGGTGTCCTCGAGAGTCTCTGGAAGCCGCTCCCACTCCTGTCCTGACGACACCTCGCTGTCGCTCTCGATGATGGAGCCCAGCAGCTTGCTGCGCCTCGGAGTCCCCGGCTTGCTGCCGATCCCCGTGGTCTTCAGGACGGGCTTCTTGCGATCTGGCATCCGATCCTGCGTCGTTGCCCTCCGGGCTGGTCGAGGCCAGGTTGAGCTCCCTGACGTCTTGAACCGGACAGGCTACGGACCCGCTGCTCCCCGGGACTCCCGAGGCTTTCGGATCCCGGACCCTGGAACCCAAGACAGAGCCAGAGCGAGAGAGAAAGGAGAGAAAAGCTGAAAGCACAGGCTGCCCCCGGCCCTCACTGCCCGCTCCCCTTCGGTCCTGAACCAGGTGCGGCATGCAGCCCGCGGGCAGGCTCGCCTTCAGGTCCTCGGGGATGCTGAAGTACTCGGGGGCGCAGTGGATGAGAGAGACCGAGCGATGCCCGGACGGCATCCTGAAAAGCTGCCTCACGACTCTGTCCCCGCAATCTGTCACGGTCATCTCGTCGGCCTTCAGATCAATGTTGGCCTCGATCATCTCAAGAAACTTGGCGGGCAGGATCGGCGGGACCTGGCCCTCTAGGATCAGAAACTCGATGAATCCGCATCCCGCCAGAGAACATGGCACCCAGGCCCTGCCCACCGTCTTGGCCAATCCACCGATGCCTGAGGCCTTGCGGCCCTCGAGCGGAGTCCGGTCGACGAACGCGAAGTAGCCGCGCTTGCGAAAGGCCTCGACCAGGTTCTTCACGTCCGGGGTTCCGATGAGGGCCTGGCCTGCTGCCGTGTCCACCAACGCGTGATCCCTCATACTCTTGAGCGAAACCTCCGGCGTCTCCAGCTGGCCGATCAGGCCAACCCACTGTTCGACGCTGAAGGTCGCCCACGTGGATGACTCAGCAGCTTCACCGGCAGAGAGGACGATGATCGAGTCGAGGTCGGCCTCGAGCTCGTAGTCGTCAGAGTTGCACGGATACTGGCCCAGCTGCGTCATCCCCGCGTCTACGAAGAAGATGGTCTGCTTCAGGTCGTGGACGGCCACGAGCCCGTCGCAGTAGCTCTCGTCGAGGTCGGCCTCCGACTCGAGCTCCATCGTCACAGCGTCAGTCAAGAACGAGGGGTCCCCGTCGGCGTTGGAGTAACAGAAGAACCCAGGAGAGGACCCTTTCGTGGCGGCCGAGGATGAGGCTCCCTTCTTCTCGTTATTGATCCGGTCCAGCTTCGATCTGTAGGGCTTCCTGCAGTCTTCTGCCCAGTGTCCGCGCTCACCACAGTTGGCACATCTCGTCTTCTTCTTCAGGTCGGCTGAGGTGATGCGACGGTATCCGGGCTTGGACGCGCGCCTGCGGTCGAAGAATTCACGATCAACCTTGCGAGTGGCCTTCATTTTGCGAGCCTCGGTCCAAGTCCTGCGTTTTTTCCTTCCCGATCTTTTCCTCGATGATGGCGGCCAGCACGGGCATCAGGTCATCCTCCGCCAGATCCTGCTCCTCGAGTGCCGTGAGAAACGTCTGAGCGTCGTCCTCGAGGAGCTCGAAAGAGTCGTCCACTGTCTCGTAGAACGACACCGCCTCCGGATCGTCGCACCACGGGGCTGGGGGTGGCTGAACGTCGGGCTCCTCCAGAGTCTGCTCCACGTATGTCTTCGTCGCCGTAGAGGTCGACCCAGGGAGCACACTGCGCTCGCGCACGTCTAGCAACAAGAGGGCCTGTCTGATAGCCTGGAACGACTTGTCGCCTCCCGCCAGCGTCCTCAAATTGATTTTATTTTGTTGACTGAGATTGGCACCCTCCTCCAGATATCTTGCGAGAACCCCGTCGGGAAGCTTCAGTCCGAAGGTCTCCGCCGTCGAGATCTGGGCGTCCCGTCTGAGGACATAGTCTGTCAAGCTCTCGCCACGACGGATGCTGTAGTCGAAGAGTGCCTCGTTCTGAGCTTCCCTTTCTTTATCACCTGGGCGCTCTCCGTTGAGTATTGCTAAGTGGTCCAACAGCTTCTCCACGCCGTCGCGGACGTCTAGCGTCGATCTCACCAGCTTGAACTTGCTCTGGATCTCGACGGGGAGTGTCTCCAGAACCTTGGCTGCCTGAACCTCGGCAGCGTACCCAGTCCTCCTCGCCCATGCGCGTAGATTACCCTTGTAGAGATCCAGATGCTCATAGTTGAGCCAGGTCGGCGGCGCACCGAAGTCACGGTTTGGGCGATCCCATGAGCGACTCCACCAGCCATCCCACTGACTCGAGTCGCTCCGCCCTTCCTGCTCAGGCGCCGCCGCTGCACCTGTGGGGGCCACGCCAGCCGCGGCCGTGTCCGCCGCCTCTGGCTGAGCTGGTACCCACTGCCACGATCCTGCCGTCGAGCTCCACCCTGTCCACGCGGTGCTCCATGTCTGGCGCCACCAGGGGTCCTGGGCACCAGCTGAAGTCGCGGCCCCGGCTGCGGGGCGCGTGGTCGTCTCTGGAGCTGATGCGGCCCAGGGATCCGTCGGCATCGTCTGCGTCTGGCCATGCTGTCGGCCGGTGCCTGCATCGTCCTCCCCCTCTTGCCCCTCACCAGAGGCTCCGCTTACCATTGTCCCAAGCTGGAAGCACGGTGGGAAGTGTGGAAAGGGGGCGAAGGGGGGAGAGTACGTTTTGTCAAGCACCAGGCGCGCAGCCTAAGCCCAAAGGGCTACGGAAGGAGTCCGAGCCCTACCCATGGCTAAACCCGAAGAGTGGGGGAGGAGAGGTCGAGAGGAAAAGGGACCGGGGGCCCTCGAGGGCCAGAGGGTCACCGGGACCCCACGGACCTCCGGGACCCGGACCCCGGGGCCCGAGGGGGACACTTCTAATAAGCCTTCCCCACTCCCTCTGCCCCCCTTTCTGCGCGTTGCTGACTTCGCGACACTTCTGGGGAAACCGAGAAAGGTACCGATACCGCTTCCCCCCAGACCTCTCCCAGGGTGCGTTCTGACCAGGATCTCGAGGCGAATCCAGCCGTGGCGACGAGGGCCTCCCGGGTGGCCCACAAGGGGGAAAACGCCGGCAGGCGGCTCATGCGATCCTGATTCTGGGGGGTGGGGGGGGCCATTGTGGGATAGTTGTTTTCTGCTCGCGTCGCTGTTGGGGTGCGCGGTGTCATTGAGGAGCGCTGGGGATTGTGTGTGTGCGTGTCTTGTCCTCTCTCTCTCGCTCGCAGTCTCTCTTTCACTCCTTCTTTTCTTGAAGGAGCAACACGTATCCTCTTCTGCAAGGGAGGAGAAAGTGAGATCGCAGGACCCGGCGCCCGCCGGGAAAACGAGGGAAGGTTAGCGGTATGGGGTCCTCTTCTTCCTCCGACCGTCGCCAGGCCAACCAGCCCACGGCCCGCACGAGGAAGGCGATCGACAGAGCCCTCCCCGCTTCCGGGAGGGCCTCTCGGGAGCTCCCCGGGGGCCCTTCCGGGAAGGCCGCCCCGTGCCCTCTCGGAGAGGCCCCTCGCCCTCTCGGAAGGCCACCCCCTCTGGAGCCACCCCAGTGTGCGCGCCGCCGCGCGCGTGGAGCAGGAGCAGGAGGAGCAGGAGGAGGAGGAGGAGGCGGAGGCGGAGGAGGAGGAGGAGGAGGAGGAGGAGCAGGAAGACGACGAGGAGGAGAAGGAGGACGAGGAGGAGGAGAACGACGAGGAGGAGGAGGAGGAGGAGGAGGAGGAGGAGGAGGAGGAGGAGGAGAGGGAGGAGGAGGGAGGGCGGAGCAGCAACAAGAGCAGTCGAGTCGAGCCCCCACTCCCGCACCAGAGCGCTGCGGGAGCCGCGCCCGCCGTGTCCAGCACCCGGCCGCCGCCCTTGCCGCCGACCACGTACGCGAATCCGTTCAGCACCGCCGCGGCGGCCCCGAACCTCGGCGCGCGCGGGCGCGGGGTCCAGAGGCCGCCAACGACGGAGGACAGACAGACAGACAGAAGTGCCAGACGCCAAAGAAAATAATAAAATAATGATAGCAATGCTAATATATTGTAGTACTATCAATACTAAGGATACGAATAGTTTGAATACTACGATTGATACTGGTAAACCTTACAATACCACGAACGGCGATAGCAATACGATGATTTAGAGCCAAAACTAAAGTATAACATAATGTAACGTAGCATGGCTGGTACACTACAGTATAATGCCATACATCATACTACAATGTAACACAACATGACAACACAATAGCATGTCATAACATGTACAATGACGTAATGTAACATACTTCACCAAGCAACATCAACACATATAGGATGAATACAAGGAACTGTACGGACATATATATATATATATGTTAATGTACTAGACTAGTACGGTATAACATAGTCTGTCCTTATCCGACAACACCGATATGACAAAATAAACTAAAACACTGTATTCCGCACTCTAAGCTAATACTAACTTTAATTGCCCCGATTGTCATGTAACATATAACAATGCACCATAATCTCGTTCATGGAATGGAATCGCACAGATGAGCGAATAACACTATCCCTACTAGACGAACTAGCACTGCTAGCAATACACTTCTATGTAAACGGATAATACGACTATTGCTAACACGAATGAAAACAGCATACTGGTAACACTACGAAAGTAATAATCGTTTTGATACTAGACATAATGATGGTACTACGCCTGCTGATAAGAACGCACATACAACGGCAATTTGTACCGTAGTACTACCATTATTAAGCATGCGAAACCGAACGAAACAAACTTAATACTATTACTACAGAGTAGTAATGATAGTGGTAGTGATCGAAGAAGACGTAGTAGTAGTAGCAATAGTAGTAGCAGTAGTAGTAGTAGCAGTAGTCACAGTAGTAGTCGTAGTCGTAGTAGTCGTAGTAGTAGAAGTAGTAGTAGTAGTCGTAGTAGTAGTAGTCGTAGTAGTAGTAGTAGTAGTCGTCGTAGTGATAGTCGTAGTCGTAGCCGTAGTAGTAGTAGTAGTAGTAGTAGTAGTAGTAGTAGTAGTAGTAGTAGTGGTAATAGTAGTAGTGGTAGTAGTAGTAGTCGTAGCCGTAGTCGTAGTCGTAGTCAGTAGTAGTAGTAGTAGTAGTAGTAGTAGTAGGTCGTAGTAGTAGGTAGTAGTAGTAGTAGTAGTAGTAGTAGTAGTAGTAGTAGTAGTAGTAGTAGTAGTAGTAGTAGTAGTAGTAGTAGTAGTAGTAGTAGTAGTAGTAGTAGTAGTAGTAGTAGTAGTAGTAGTAGTCGTAGGAGTAATAGTAGTAAAGTAGTAGTGGTAGTCGTAGTAATAGCAGTAGCAGTAGTAGTAGTAGTAGTAGTAGTAGTAGTAGTAGTAGTAGTAGTAGTAGTAGTAGTAGTAGTAGTAGTAGTAGTAGTAGTAGTAGTAGTAGTATAGTTGTAGTAGTAGTAGCAGTGGTAGTGGTAGTGGTAGTGGAAGCAGTAGTAGTTGTAGTAGTAGTAGTAGCAGTAGTAGCAGTAGTAGTAGTAGTAGTAGTAGTAGTAGTAGTAGTACTAGTAGTAGTAGTAGTAGTAGTAGTAGTAGTAGTAATAGTAGTAGTAGTAGTAGTAGTAGTAGTAGTAGTAATAGTAATAGTAATGGTAATAGTAACAGTAATAGTAGTAGTTGCAGTATTAGTAGTTGTTGTTGTAGTAGCCGCAGTCGTAGTAGCAATAGTAGTAGTAGTAGTAGTAGTAGTAGTAGTAGCAGTACTAGTAGTAGTAGTAGTAGTCGTAGTAGTAGTAGTAGAAGTAGTAGTAGTAGTATTAGTAGTAGTAGTAGTAGTAGTAGTAGTAGTAGTAGTAGAGGTAGTAGTAGTAGTAGTAGTAGTAGTAGTAGTAGTAGTAGTAATAGTAATAGTAGTAGTAGTAGTAGTAGTAGTAGTAATCGTAATAGCCATAGCAATGATATGTTCAAGCACGCCAAGCATGCCAATATTACACATACGACTGGTACGACGAAACATGATAACACGAATGCAACAATATGCGATCAATGATACATACAAACACTTAAACAAAGACACAACAACAATACGAACAAACAAATTAGTAAGACCAGAGGCTCACAAACCGCAGAAGTGTAGCTTCGACGCCCGTCGTTCTCCTCAGTAATGGAAGCGCTCTCTTCCATTATGGTTGCTTCTGGCATCTGGATGCTCTGAAAATGGAGTCGGAGATTCGGCATCCCGTAGGAGGAGCCACGGCAGCAGCAGGATCAGGAGCAGGAGGAAGGAGGAACAGGCAGGGGCAGATGGAAGGCAGGGAGGAAGGAGGGTGAGGGGGGGCGAGCAGGATGAGAAGGAGGAAGAGGAGGAGGAAGGATGAACGAGGCAGGCGTGGGACGGGAGGGAAGAGGGGAAGGGAGGAGGAGGAGGAGGAGGAAGAACAGGAGGAAGAGGAGGACGAGGAGGAGGACGAAGAAGAGGAGGAAGAGGACGAGGAGGAGGACGACGAGGACGACGAGGAGGCGAAGGGGAGGAGGGGGGAAGGACGAGGACGAGGAGGGGAACGATGAGGTGACGAGTGACCTGCTTCCCATCGGCAAGGGAGCGAAGATCTGAGGGGGGGTGCCCAGGGATAAACCTAGACCAGGCCGGGTAGGGGATGGGAGAAGGGCTGCGGAGGAGGAGGGGGAGCGGAGAGAAAAGGGGGGAGGCGAGGGCTGGGACAGGGCAGGGGAAGGGACAGGGAGGAGAGGGCACATCGGATGGCAGGCAAGAGACTTGGTCCTTGGCACCGGAGCGAAGAACTCTGGATATGGACTCCCAGCCTCTCCAGCTCCAGGGGTCGAGGCAATGGATGAGCTCGGCCCCGTCGTGCGGTGCGACGGTCCCGGACACTCCGACCACGTCCGCGCCATCGAAGCCTCTCCTTGAGCTTCGCCTGGGGCCCGGACCTCCTCGCCGCCGCGCGCCGACGGAGACCAGCTCCTCCCTGCCGCGCGCGCTGGCTGCGCCAGCGCACCTGGCCACACGCGCCCGCGGGGGCGGGGCCCGAGCCCCCCGGCGGGCGACCTCGTGCTCGGCCGCCCCCGCGGCGGCGCCGGGCGCTGCCCCCGCCGCCGCGCCGCCCTGCTTGGCCGCAGCCCTGCGCTCTCAGCCTTGGCCCCTGGCCATGGCATCCCTGCGGAGCCTTTGCTCCTCGAGTCTGCGCTCCAGCCTCCTGGGCGAGTCGGCGGCTCCGACGGGGCGCGGGGGCACGCCGCAGCCGCCGCGGCCCCCACTCCTGCCTCCGCAGCCCGGCCAGCGGGCTCAGTTGGGCTCAGCGCCCGGTGCGCCGCCGCCGTCCACAGCGCCAGCAGGCGTGCGGCGCTTCTTCGCCGCCACCTCGGCGCTCCGGCGTTCGGAATCCTGGACCTCACATACTTTCTCAACCTGAAGCACCACGTGTGCTATTTGAGGACCTTGGCAAGCTCGAGCTCAACCACATCCGTCCTTGCAATGATGCCGTCTCTGGTATTGACCGCCTCCTCGTTGCTGCCGTCCAGACCCATGAAGTCCCCCTCTACAGAGATCGTGAACTTGCCGTCCACGATGGTCTGGAGGCCCAGGACGCGATCCGCCTCCGCCCCCCCCCACGGCGGCGCCGGAGCGCCTCATTACCCAACGCGCGGCGATGGCCTCGAAGCGGCCGCTTTTTGTCCGCAGCGCTGGCGGCCCCCAAACAAACATGTGCCCTGTAGGGTGCGGGGACCCCTCCTCGAGACGGCGGCGCTCGGCCCCCGCGCCCGCCGCACCCCTCCTCCTCCTCCTCCTCCTCCTCCTCCTCCTCCTCCTCCTCCTCCTCCTCCTCCTTCCATCCTCCTCCTCCTCCTCCTCCTCCTCCTCCTCCTCCGCATCCCCCTCCTCCTTGGCTGAGCTTGGGGCTACCGCTGCCCCAGCGGCCCTCCGGAGCGCCGCCGCTCCAGCTGACCCCCCCCCCCAGCAGCCTTCCCAGGGCGGCCCCCGCCTGCGCCCACCGCCAGCAGTGAGTCGGGCCTGTTCCTCTACAGGAGGGGTATCAAAAGTAGTCAAAGAATGCTCTGGGGACGACTTTTTGAGTATCTGGGCATCTTTCGAATCTTTTGACTATTTGAAATTTTTCGTCCGAAATCCCCCTGTAGGGGGACACGCCCGGCCTGACGCCAGCAGCCTTGCCGCCAGCGCCATCGCCGCTGCCGCCGCTCCGGCGGGCGAGGGCCCGGCGGCGGTGCCGCGAGCAACCGGCTCGCACCTGGTGCGGGCGCCGCGTCGCCCGAAGTTGGGGAAACTGCGAGATTGGCAAGTCCAGTGTGCCAGGAGTCTAGCCGAGGCAGCCCCGCCACCGCGAGCTGGAAGCACGGCACGCCCGACGCCTGAAGCTTGGAGCACCTCGACCCCACGGGAGTGGGATCCCCAGGCGAATTGCCAAGTCGGCACCGTGTAATTACCTTCAAGGCATGTCTCCTCAAGCCAAAACGGCAACGGGGGGAGGAGGAGGAGGAGGAGGAGGAGGAGGAGAAGGAGCTGGAGGAGGAGGAGGAGGAGGAGGAGGAGGAGGAGGAGGAGCAGGAGCAGGAGGAGGATGGGGAGGGGAGGAGGAGGAGGAGGAGGAAAAGGAGGAGCTACGCGGCAGCGGGCTGCGCGACCGAAGGCGCGGACCCCTTCGCCTCCCCGCCCCCCTCGCGAGAGAAGCCGCCCGGGCCGCGCGCCTCGCGCTGCGTAGGGGCTGAGATCGCCGGCGTTTTGCCCCTCCCGCCCGCCGCGCTCGCCTCCCCCCATGCAGGAGGAGAACACGAATAGGAGGAGGCGCAGGAGGAGGAGGAGAAGGAGGAGGAGGAGGAGGAGGAGGAGAAGAAGCTGGAGGAGGAGGAGGAGCTGGAGGAGGAGGAGGAGGAGCTGGAGGAGGAGGAGGAGGAGGAGGAAGAGGAGGAGGAGGAGGAGGAGGAGGAGGAGGAGGAGGAGGAGGAGGAGGGAGGAGGAGGAGGAGGAGGAGGGGGAGGGGGAGGAGGAGAACGCGAATAGTGAATGAATGAAAGACGACTCTGGGCCCGCATCTCTCCCTGTCCCTGCTGTGCCGAGGCGGACTGAACAGCGTGCGGCAAGCTCGTGTATGTAATGAGTGTAAAACTCGTGGGTTTGCAAGTGAGCACACACAGGCGTGTAATATGTACGAGAGTGCACCCGTCGGACGACTAAAAAAGTCATGAGGTTCAGAAGGGGCCCGGCGGGCCCCGACGGGCCTGTAGGCTGGGCCCCAGGGTCACGCGCACCGACGCGTAGGGCACGAACAGACCCCAGGGAGCAAGGACAACTAAGGCGTTAGCCAAAAAGAGTGGGCCAACAGGGGGGGGCGGACCTCGCGGTAGCGTGAAACAGGTGGGAGGCGACAACGATCCGTCATTAGATGATCACTTCACGCGGTCACCGTCCGATACGTAGTGCAGCGCATTGGGGAGGAGGCCGAAATTGAAGAAGAGCCTGCCCCGCGCTGCATATATGAATGCATGCACCCTACGCATGCTCACCTGCTATCTTTTGCGTCTACTGCGTTCTGTAGTATCTCCTCCATTGCGCCTGGTGGCGCCGCGCCCAGCGCCCTGCGTCCGCCGATCTCCTCGAGTGCCTTCTGGAGCAGGCCGCGGACTGTCAAGGGCGAAGGCAGCTGCTGCTCGTCTGATTCGGGCGGTACGCTCGGCTGTGCCACATCCCTCATCATCAGGTGGAGCTTCCTCTTGTTCTGGTCGTAGCACTTCGTGACTCGGAACAGCCGTACCATGTCGTACAGGTCGTGAGGCTGCAGCTCGCACCACACTCTGCCGTGCCAATCTTTGAGCATCGCGTGTGTCCTCTGCCCCAGCGCGGGCCCACGCTCTAGCAACTTGGTCACGAACCCATTGAATATATGAAGGTGAGGAGGACCGAGCTGGTGGCCTTTGCCTCGGGCTCGGACTTCGTGTGAATATGTCGCCCCTGCCTCCTGCGCGGCCTCGATCTCCGGCAGGTCGGCGGTCAGGAAGTACGTGTCCACTCCTGCGGCCCACAGCTCGCGCACCAACTGGGTCGTCATGAGCGTCTGCTTCACCATCACGTTGATGAAGTTGGCCTGCTTCTTGGTGAACCCCATGTCCTTGATCTGCCCGAGGTGCCGATTGCGCTGCTGCTTGCTGTTGGGCCCGCTGGCTGCGGCCGCGTCGGAGGCGGAGCCTGGGGTGGGGGCGGAGCTCTTGCCGCCCTTGTCCTTCTGCGGGGGGCCGCCGCCCTTGGCCTTGGCCAGCACGGGAGCGCCCTCGGCCTCTGCCCCTGGCGGCCGCTTCTCCAGCATCCACTTGGGCTTGGGGGTCGCCATCGCCAGCCCGTCTCTCAGGTATGAAAGGCAAGTGCCGCTCGCAAATGTGATCCTGGAGCTGAGCCAAATCGAAATACGAAGACGTGGCGCACACAGGACAAACAAGCCTGGGGACGACCACTGGATGCAGTGCATGCGCGCTGAGAACATCACAAACTCCCCGACGAAATGCCCGACAGAGGTGAGCCTTCGCGGTCTTCTGGAAAGCAAAGGAAGTGCGACACGCTGGACACTGGTTCGTGACGACACATCTGGCATAGTAGGAGAAGTTGCCATGAGAGCCGCCCTGGGCGTGGGTCTGGTGCGCGACGAGGGCTGCATGGGTGAAGAAGCGGGCGCCACACACGTCTCCATCGTCTGTAGTGCATCTGCATACGTGCACGCAGCCAGAGGGACCCAGGAATTCCTCAATTCCATCCTGCGAGGCGGAGAGGCAGGGTCCGAAATCGATAATGTCCAGCTCAGTCTTACCGCTCTGCCAGATCTTGCGCAGAGCAGAAACATCAGCCGCCAGAAACTGCAATGCGATATGTAGTCGTCATGGAAGAGCGCATGGATGTCCTCGCCCCAGACGGAGCGCCAGTCTCCATAGTCTGTTAGAAGCTCGAGCCTGTAAACGTCAGTCACGAAACGAACGGCGAACGGGTTGGCGTGAACGGTGAGGCGGCCCTCGGACAGGGTGGGGGCATTCTCGAAGCCGACGCGACCGAAGAGGAGGCTGATGACCTGGGAATGTTCTTCGGGCCATCTAACCATGGCCTGGTACCATCGAAGTCTCTGAACTAACAACTCGACCCCAGACGGAACAATATTCATCCATTTCCAGACCTCCCGAGAGTCCTTAATAATGGGATGATCTCCAGAACGGTCACACAAAGCCCCCGCAGCAATACAACGGATCTTACCCAAGAGCGCGATGTCCAGCTGGGCCTCTTGGGAGCTCGTGAGGAGATACGGCGTAAGTCCAGACAACAGCGCACCTTGCACCACAGATATGAATACTAGCCTCTTCACCTTAAAAGGGGCCCCCGAGGTCCACAAATACTTAAAAGACATCCACCCCCTGTTGGCCGCTACTTTACTCAGTGCAAGCTGGTGTGAGAAGGCGCCAGAGGGCAACAACTGAGGTCCCAAGTACCTGGTGTGCGGGGCCACTCGGGCCCCCCCGACCTCCGCAGCGTAAAACTGGCGGGTGGCCTTGTAACCACAAAGGCGGGGGACCAAAACTTGTTTCGACGTGTTTTGCTTGTATCCGTACGCAGCCAGGGCATTGCCGAGCTTGGCCTGGGCTTCGCGCGCTGTGGCGACAGCCTCGGAAAGTGCCCCCTCCTGGAGTAGCAAAAAGTACGCCAGATCGTCCACGTATTTGAACAGGCCCGCATAGACCTCGCGCCCGAACACGGGGCACGACACGCACAAAGCAGGGTCCTGAAACTGGGCGAGCCACTCCTGGAGGGGGCGGGCAAAATCAACTCGAAATTCGTCGGGCGCACTGGGGTCCCCCATCAAAGCCCCGCTTTGGAGGTGAAGGGTGGTGGGGCGATCAACGCCCTCGAGGTGAAGTAGGTGCGTGGTGCGCCTGTCGCTGAGCAGGGCAACATCCCCTGCTGGCAAATACTCTAAAAGTCCTTGATTCATGCGCTTGTGCTCGCAACAACCGAAAGCATTCTTCGTGTCATCGAAAACAGCAATGTGCCACACGCGTGCGCTACGCAAGCGATCCGCCAAGATCTGCGTGCCCAAAAATGGCATTCTCTCGCCTGCGTCGCGGTATGCATCCATGGTCGTACTCCGCAGGCGCAGCGTGTGGGACCGTCCTATAGATGCCCCTGGCAATGGCTCGAAAGAAGGGGCAGAGGCCGTGCAGAAACCGAGTGCCGCCGTCTGGTTTGGGAGTCTGCCAACCGAGAGAAAACCCCGCACACGTAGGAAACCTCCCCACCACCCGCCAGCACGTGGCCAGACTTCCCAAACCAATCTTGATGGCCTCCACCTCAGGGGGCTCAGGCTTTCCGCCGACTCCGAAGGGAGAAATACGTGGCTTGCTAAAATACTTAGGCAGGAGAAGCATGAGCCAAATCTCGCCAGGGAGGGACCAGGCAGGGACGGAACGTCTGCGCGAAGCCTTGCGGAGCACCCACGAAGCTCTACGAAGGTCTCTGGCTCCCAACTCCCCCGCCGAGTCCCGCTCACCCATCCCTTGAGGAGCCAACGAGGCCCGCGACAGTAAAACATTGTCTAACTGGACTGGGACCGCGGAGAGACCACCCTCGGAACCAGGAAGGCCCAGAGAGCCCGCGAGCTCATCAGCCGATGCAACGTGCCTGCGCACCGCCGCGTAGCTCCGACGTTTGGGTCCCAGTCCAGTGCCCGCCAGTCTACGAGAGAAGTATTGCACGCTGGCGAGATCACGTTTGCGCCAGGCCTCATGTATGCCTTCAGTCCAAGTCCTGCGCAACGATCGCGTCCATCTTCGGACCTCCCACCTGATGCGATTCGTGAGGTCGCGGATCTGAAAATCGTAGTGGCAGTGGGGGAGGCCCATGGCGCGGAGCACAGCACGTCCACGGAGGAAGCGTCGTACCTGGAGTCGGTGCTGCGCCAGCTCCGCGCCTGGGGTCCGCCTGGCCCTGCCGAAGTGCTTCTTGGCAATCGGCGCCAGCGCGTCCAAGAAAGAAGCGTAGCCTGCGTCGATCATGTTGCTCTCGAAGTACCCCAGGTACGAGGGCGCCGCGCGCTGCAGGGCCAGGTTTGCCTCTTCCAAGAACCCCTCCCGCAGGCCTGGCGTCTGCAGCGCGGTCTCGATGGCGTCGAAGTTCCAGGAAGCCAAAATCTGCGAAGACCGCAGGCTCGGGACGCCCAGGTCCGCCTCCAGGAGCACGGGAGAGTGGTCGCGCAGAATCCCCTTGGAGGGGTAGAGCTGGAGCTGCCTGGCCGCCTTGGTCATGGTGATCAGCTTTGACACGCGCGGCAGGGCTCCAGCGGGCAGGGCGTAGTGGTCAATCCAGGTAGACGACTTCTCGCCATTGTACGTGGGAGCAATCTTGAAAAAGGTGGTTGCGCAAGCAAAATGAGGAGGACGACGCAGGACGCAGCATAGAACGTGCAAGCAACGAGTCGCAAGCACGCCAGAGCAAAAAGAAACAAATAATAACCCTCACGGATGGAGGCGCCAGCCACGATTCAGAATTTGTGTGAAACCCCAACGAATCACGATTATGTTGGGATGGCTCTCGTCGCAGGGCGCCAGCCGCCTGAGGCCTAATTGCAGGCCCGCTTCCTGGCAGGGGTCGGGGGAGCCACGCGCAAGACTCTCGCAGGCTGTCGACCTATGGCTGACCCAACCGCCACCCGAGCCCCACACGACATCCAGAGAAAGAAAGGCCCAGCTCGGTGGACCTCGCGCCCCCCGCGCGCGAAGAGGAGTCCACTCGCCGCCGCCGCACTCTCAGCAGCAGCAGGACCTCCACCCTAGACGCTCAACAGCCTGGGCCAAGGCCTGGAGCATCGGAGTGGGATAACACTTCGCCGCAAGCTTCAGCAACGACTTGGCACTGGATGGGGTTCTCGCGACCGTCAGACACCGCCTGCACTGAATCGCGGAAAAGCCAGTCAAAGCAACAAGGTCATGCAAAATGAGCCTATCTTGCTTCACACTGGCTGACGACTTCTGAAGGGGAAGGGAGTTCCCTTGAATATCGGGCCTGGACCAAATCAACCGAACGGCCCTGGCCAGGAACTCGCAGGCCAGCTTGCGTTCTTCCCCGGCAGCTTTCAAGCGATCGATCACGACTTGAGCAACAACTACAGCATCGACCCCGAACTTGTCGGCTAAAGCAGCCAATGCTTGGCGGCGCGCACAAGGGGGTGGAGGGAGGGGGGAGGGCTTCTTAGGAGGAGGCTGCTTCTTAGAAGGCGCCGGCCTGACATCTATGCATAAGGCCCGCGCCTTCTAAGAAGCAGGGGTGCCCTAAGAAGCCCTCCCCCCTCCCCCCACCCCCCTTTGCGCGTGGCTGAAATGCATTGCCCATGACCCGGTGCAACTGTTCGGCCGACGCACCCGCATCCGCAAGAGCCTCTCCAGCGCCCCGCGCGCTGGAATCCGCGCGGGCTGCGGCCTGCCGCCCGTCTCCTCCAGCTGCCGAGCGCCTCCGTGCCAGGTGAGGGCGCGACGCGCGAGGCCGCGCTCGAGCAGGGGCCCCCCCGGCCGGGCCGCCCGCGCAGAACTGAAATCATTACTATTTACAGGGCAACTGTGAATACATAGGATTTTAAAGAATATCGGATTTGAATACATGGTTCATTCATGAATAAATTTACGCATGAACTCCTCGTTGATTTCAATACTACATCCCTGCATCTTTAATACAGGATCCGCACGCGGAGCCTGTGTGAAAAACGGCCCTGTATGGTCAAGCAGGGCGGCCCAAATCGCACGGCCTCGAGCCCCGCCCACCTTCCCCCTCAGGGCGCAGTCTGGAAGCGCACAGGAAGCCCCCCCGATCTCGCTCTGAGGGCCAGCATTCCGCCGTAGCCTCGACAACGCTCCAATCGCATCGAGACGCCTCAGGAGTAGACCCCACAAGCCCACTACAGTCACGAAACAGCACGGGCCCCCGAAGGACCTCGAGAGAGGCCCCTCCACAGAATCGGGGGTTCGGCGAGCGGCGGCGGCAGCCTCGCGGACATCGCAGAGGAAAACCACGGGATCCCAGTCCGAGCCCCCATGAGGAAAGACCTCGTTATCCCGCAAGAGCTGCCCGCCCTGCCACGCCTCGCCTGGGCAGAACTGCCCCCCGTGCCCATCCCCTTCGACGGGGGGGCGAAGGCGGCCTCGCAGTCCTAAAACTGGTGACCGAGAGCGTCCTTCTCGGCTACGCAGACCTCGCAGTCCTAAAACTGGTGACCGAGAGCGTCCTTCTCGGCTACGCAGAATGCGCATCCGTCAGGGGGCGCGGCCCCAGCATGGTAACTATGAAGGGGCCTACAAACACAAATAAATACACACAAGTAGCACGAATCTCTATATGTTCCAATATTTTTTGGGGGGTTCTGCTTCCCCCCCACCCCCGCACTTCCCATATTTTCTTATGTTTTCCTGGGAATCGACGATCAATTGTGTCTGTGTGTTTCTTTCCCCCCTGAACTTGGGCCGAGGAGGCCGCGGGCACCCCAGAGATCGGGGCCCAGCAATACCTTGGCGAGCACCAGGTTGGAGGGCAAGAGCGGCCAGGCGCAGCGCTCGAACCCAGACCTCCTCCGCGCCGGCCGCCTCGGGCCAGTGAAGGTGGGCCCTGCGCCAGCGCCAGAACCAGCGCTCGACGCCGCCCTGAACTAAGCTTCTGACATGGGCGGGGGAGCACACGCGTAGCAACATGCTCCCGTTCCTGTCCGAAACTAACACGCGGGGCCGAAATTTCCCACCCGGCGCGTTCAAGGGCGAGGACGACAGCGGACGCGGGGCCAAAGCGCACTCCCAGCTACCTTTTTGACTAACGCGGCGGCGAAAAGCTTGCTTCGCAGCTCGCGCCGAGGCGCCCCAGCCCCACAACCGCGCACCCAAGGGGGGGCCATGCATTCCGTCTCGTTGCGTGCACGGGCAAGCCGCTGCAGACGCGGGCGTTTTCCGGGCGCCCGCGAGCTCGCCCGCGTGAAAACGCCACTTCGCGAGCGTGCACTCAGCGAAGCCAATGGCTCCAATCCCGCGGTCTCGAGGCGGCACGACATCCGCTCTCCGCTGGGCCCGAGCCTTCCAAACCTCCTGTCCGCCCGAAGGCCCTCGGCCTACCGATCGGCGCCCCAGGACCGGTGTGTCAGCCGTCTCGTTTCCTGGGCCCTGTGGGCGGCGCCACCCGCAACGGAATGTCCTAAATTCCTGGCGCTCAGGCTCAGGGGGGGAGGGCGAGGGGGGGAACCGCCGCGAAGCACGAGCCGCGACGAAAATAAAGCGGTCCGCGGCCCACGGGGGCTATCGGGGGCTGTCCTGGGAAGCCTGGACGGGGCAAGCCTTCGAAAGGCGGGTGGCCCAGGGGAGCCGGGGCCCAAGCTCGGGGGGGGGGGGGCGAGGGGGGCGAACCGGCGAACCGCCATCAGCCACAAACCGCGACGAAAGTCAAGGGTTCCGCGGCCCAGGGGGCCCTGGACGGAGCATGCCTCCGAAGGGTGGGTGGCCAGGGGAGCTCACAGGCTCAGAGGGGGGGTGGGGGGAAGGGGGGCGAACCGCCACGAGCCGCGGACCACGACGAAAATGAAGCTTCCGCGGCCCAGGGGGGCTGCCCTGGGGAGGAGCTGGGGCTCAGGCTCAGGGAAGGAGGGGGGGGGGGGGGCGAACCACCGCGAGCCACGGACTACGACGAAAATAGGGATGTCCTCGCCCCACGGGGGCTGTCCTGGGAAGCCTGGACGGAGGGGGGGTGGCCCCAAGGGGGGGTGGGCCAGGGGAGCTGGGGCTCGGGCTCAGGGGAGGGGCCGAGGGGACGAGCCGCCACGAACCACGAACCACGACGAAAAAAAGGACGTCCGCGGCCCAGGGGGGCTGTCCTGGGAAGACTTGACGGAGCAAGCCTCCAAAGGGTGGGTGGCCCAGGGGAGCTGGGGCCCAGGCTCAGGGGAGGGGCCGAGGGGTGCAAAAGACCACGAACCACGAACCACGACGAAAATAAAGATGTCCGAGCTCTAGAGCACAGCTGTGCAAGATAATTAAATTCACCCGCTAGAACCGCGAGACGCCGCAGGGGATCCGCTTATGCAGGGGAGAGATTGAATATATTCGCATTACGAACCATGCGTTTATCGGTTGCAGGAACACGCTGTCGTTATAAATGCTGCAATGCAAAATCCAGACGGCGCTATCGACGTTTGCGAGCTTCGCGTTCAATGCGCGGCCACGAACGAGAGGGGGGGAGAGACAACAGGGCATTCAACGCCACGGCTAGCTAGGCGATCCTGGGATTCCACGAAGTTGGGATACAAGGGTCACCACACCACCAGTGCGGCGAGACAGAGGACAGAAAGAGGCAGAGAATGAGACGTCATTTTTGAGCTGATGCAGTACGTCTCTCACCTTAGCCTCAGCGCCATGGGCCTCCTGGGTGGAAACGATGGCAGCCGTCTGCCGCAGCCTGCCAAGATAGCGGTGCCGACGGGGACGGGCCTTGTCCCAGGTGCTGGAGGGAACTCGCGCTCCATGTAGATACTCGGGAGGGAACAGACTTGCGACTGCCGCCGCTCCACAGCACGGGTGTTGTGCAAAAGACACCACTGTGTCTCCTCTGCCTCATGGATGATCTGCGCCTTGATCTGCTGCTCGAGCACACCGCGGTCGAAATCCTCTGCGATGATGTTCGCCGACGCCCAGCGGATGATCGGCTCCGCGTTGCCTTCCTGTGGGGCCACATGCACGAGCGGCTTCCAATGGATGGAGCCCGTGCGTTTGACCCTGTCCGTGCACACCTGCCGCTGGGGCTTGATTGATATTGAAGACCCGCTTGATGGCTTTGACGGTCTGCTCGGTTTTCATCTGCTTCGCGTTCCTGTCTGGCCTCAACAAGATCTCCGACCGTGAACCAGTGACAACCAAGCCCTCGAACCTCGAACTCTTTCTTGAGGCGCTTGAGCTCGCTCTCCATGATGTCCATGGGGTGCTTGTGCTCTCGCTGTTGGGCCAGAAGGTGTTCGAGACGTTGATCGACCTGATTCGCCGAGCTCGCACGCGTTGCCAAAACTTTGTTATGCATGCTCGTGACGGGAGTCTTGGAGCGACTGCACGGACTGCTGGCACGTTTCCATGTCGCAGGACACGTCGGCACGGAACTGCTCGACAAGCGCACGGAGCCCATCACACTGTTCGCCGCCCCCTGAGCCAATGATCTCGAAAGTAGCTTCACTACCATCGGGGAGACGTAAGACTCGGATACGGGGGACGCGGGTTGGCCTGATGGGGTCCATCATAAAAATGACGAGACGCATTCTGAAATTTGACGCGAGCTCCCACTGCAAAGTTTGCAGTGCAAACATCCCACGAAAACTGGACCGTCAAAATCCAGGACGCGCTCGTCAAAAAACGTCGGCAAACCCGAGTTCCGGCTTACCCGAGTCTTACGTTCCCCCGATACCAGCGGGGATCGTGTTGCCGCACGCCTCGCCATCCCTCTTGTGCAATCCCGCCCTCAGCATCAGCCGCGGCCCAGCGCAGGAGCTGCCCTGGGGCCCGACTGCCGAGCGAGAAGAAAGCGTGCGGTGACACTGCTGGGCGCGCGCTGGCCGCCCGTCGTGCCTGCGCCGGGGGGAGCTTTGCGTCCTGGCGACGGATGGAGCCAAGACGAATCAGGTCACCTCGCAGCCTTGCTGCTTGACCCCGTTCATTCTTGAACCAACATGGCTACGGACATTTCCTCCTCCTCCTCCTCCTCCTCCTCCTCCTCCCTTCCGCAACACCCCCGGGCGCTGACCTCGGCGGCGGGCGCCAGGCCGTGCGGCGAAGTGCATCGCGCACGCCGGCACACGGCTGATTCCAGAAGAAGGAGGAAGAGGAGGAGGAGGAAAAAGGGAAGAAGAGGAGGAGGAGGGAGGAGGGGGAAAAGAGAGAGGGGGAGGGGGAGGAGGCATACATGAGGAGGAGTGGATGCCCGCAAAGGGGGGGAAGAGAGACAAAGAGAGAGAGAGAGGTCAGATGTTCAGGCCTCGAGAATCTAGGTGCGCCCCAATCGTGTGAGAACTGTTTGTCATACTGGCTGGCGGCGCCGTCCAGTCAGGGGCCGACGATCGGGTGCGCGCCTGAACTAAAAAAACTACCTTGTCTTCGGAATCAAGCTGACGGACTCCTGAGTTGTAAGGCTGATGGCTCTATCAGATGATGAGCGGGAAAGGAGGAGAGAGGATGAGGACGAGGGGAGAAAAGGAGGAGGCAAGCAGGAGGAAAATGGGGGGGCAGGGGGAGGATGAGGGGGAGGAGGAAGAGGACGAGGAGGGAGGATGCGAAGGAGGGGAGAAGAGGAAGATGAGAAGGAGGATGCTGAGGAGGAGGAAAGAGGGGGAGAAGGAGGGGGAGGAGGAGGAGGAGGGGTAATGAAGAAAATGTAGGACGAGGAGGAGGGGAGAAGAGGAGGAGGAGGAGGAAGCCCAATGCACACCCAAGACGCATCAACGATGATTCAGTACACCCACCCTCCAATTTCCCTCTGCAAAGGCCCCTGAAATAATCATTGCCGTTGAGGCCGATGCCTCATTGGAAGACGACCGCCTGAAAATCCTCAATCGCGCCAAAGCGCCATTCCTGGGACTTCAACGCCGCGAACCATTGTTGCGTCCTGACGATCCTGAGTAGCGCCACAACACGATTCCTGGGACATCAACGCCACAAATCGACGTGACTGTTGACCGTCCCGTGAATCCCAGACCGTGCCAGAACACCATTCCTGCGACGCCAACCATACGAACCCATGAAAGTCTTGCAGTTTGTTTCAAGACGAATGTGCGTGGCGATAAGGCGACAGCCAGGTGTTGTAAAGAAGCCGTCCTCCGTCCTTGAAACTGGTGCGAACTGTTAAGACGACTGTGCGCGGCGCTCAGGGAGCCCCATGATGAAACCAACGGCCCTCCATCCTTGAAATTTCTGCGAGCTGTTAAGACGATGATGCGCGGCGCTCAAGAGGGGGTTCACAATTCGAAAACCAGTCGTCCTACATCCTAGAAATTGCTGCAAGCTGTTGAAAAGATGGTGCGCGGCGCTAAGGCGAGAGTCACATGTTGAAAACCACCTGCCCTCCATCCTTGAAGCTGCTGCAGGCTTCTACAAGGCATCCGAACTCACCCCGGAGATGCCACGCGCGCAGGTCAGCGCAGGTCAGCGGGCCAGCGCGGGTCAGTCGGCGGTGGACAAACCTCCCTTTAGCAAACCACCCTTTAGTGAAAACGGCCTAGGACCGAAACCGACAGACCTGGACCCGCAAAACTGACGGCCGCGACGTCCTCTCGCGAACCGAGAACGGCCAATTCGCTAATCGACGTGTCAGGGTAGGAGGTCTACCAACCTCCGACACTCCCTCGGGCGCGCATGTCAGCGCGGGCCAGGGCGGGTCAGCGCAGGTCAGTGCAGGTCAGCGCAGGGCACTACAGGTCAGCCAAGGTCAGCGCACGCCGGCGCGGGTAGGCGCAGGTCCGCTCGCGGGTCATTCCTCGCTCTCCCCGTCCAGACCAGTGCTGACATGCGCTATATCTGCCCTGGCCTGCGCTGACCTGCGCTGACTGCGCCTGATCTGACCCTCCTCCTCCTCCTCCTCCTCCTCCTCCTCCTCCTCTTCCTCCTCCTCCTCCTCTTTATTGAGACCCTCCTTTTCTAGGGGTCGGCGGAATGGCGTGACCGGGGGATCCACGTCCGGAGGTGACGTGCTGAGCGGCAGCGTTTTTCGGCGAACGCCTCAGTGCAACGTATCCAATTTATCCAATGATTGCATACTTGCCACATGTTGTATTGTGTTACATTATTATGTCTCCCCCCCTAACCCCCCCTGGGAGCTGCGCCACACCGCTGGACCAAAGTGACGCCCCCCTTTCTGGGGCCCTAAAAACGTACGAAAACCAACGAAAATCAACACATTCGGCCTCTTGGGCCTCTGGGGGCTCCTCGAGGGCCTCAAGATGGCACAAGATGGCCCCAAGGCGGCCCAAGACGGCCCCAAGACGGCCCAAGACGGCCCAAGATATTCCCAACTGGGACCCATGAGGCCCCCAAGACGGCCCCAAGAGGGCCTCAAAAGCTCCAAGGACGGCCCAAGAGGGCCCCAAGAGCGCCTACAACTGCGCCTCCAGAGGCCGAAATCATTATTTTCCCATGGTTTCTGCGATTTGTTAGCGCTCTCGCCTTTTTCGACTCTCAAAAATCAATGACGGCCCAAGCAGCTTCCATAATCGCCCCAGAACAACCCAAAAAAACACCCAAGAGGGCCCCAAGACGGCCCAGGAGGGCCCCAAAACGGCCCAAAGAGGCCCCCACGACGGTCCAAGAGGCCGCGAAGTCGGCCCAAGAGGACCCCAAGAGGGCTCCAATGCGGCCGCGAAAGGCCCCCAAGACAGCCTCCGAGGGGGCGAAACGGCGCAAAAGCGCCCCAAGACGGCCGAAGACGCCCCCAAGAGGCCCCAAGAGACCCCGAAAAAGCCTCCAAGAAGCCTCCCAGAAGCCTCCAAAAGGCCCCCAAAAAGCCCTCCGAAGGCACACAGCGACTGGAGTGTAATGTCATTTTCCCCCCTCTGGGCGAACTGCGGCGCAGCGCCAGCCAGGTGGAAGTTGGTCACTTCGGCGCCCATGATTAGAGCCGGCGCTGGAAGGGAAGACGGGGAGGGTTTATGAAAAGGAAGGAGGGGGGAAAGGCCCCAAAGAAGTCCCCAAGAGGCCAAAAGAAACTCCCAGGAGGCCTCCAGGAGGCCCCCAAGAGGCTCCCAAGAGGCCCCGCGACGACGTGAGTGTACGTGCTCCGGACGTGCACCCCGCGAAGCGAGAGGAATCCGCCCGCCCACCGGGCTCAGGGGCGTGCGGGATTCAAGTACGAGAGCTCCTTACAGTGCTTTAATCCCCCCCCTTTCTCCCCCCCCCCGGAGGCCTCCGCCATTCCGCTGCCCGGCTGCGCCAATGACCGCCCAGCTGCGCCAATGACCTTTTTCGGGCCCAAAGACGGCTTCCAAGACGGCGTGCAAGACGACCTCCATTTGCAGATCGTTCTGAAGACGCTCCCAGAGCGCATGTTGGGTCCATTTCCGCCCAGTCGGGGCCCCTTCTTGGCGTCCAAAATCATCTCCCGGGGTCCTCGAGACCGACTTTTTGGCGCATGCTCGCCGACAAGCTGGAATGTCAAAAAGTAAGTATAACAAATGCCAGTTTTCGGACGATTTCGCTTCTCTCGGGGGTCTCCCGGACGCTTCTTACAGCTCACTTTCAGGTTCGTCTAGAGTCTCTCCTAATTCAAATTTGGACGCCGTTTCTGGGCGCGCTCTGGGGTCACTTTGGGCAAATTCGGGGCCCACCTTCGGCCCCCAAACGGACCCCAAAACAGCCCTGAACCGGCCCGATTATGACCGGAAGACGGACGGAGCCTCTCCCATCTTCGGCCCCCATGTGAGCCCCCTCCGGCGAGAACTGGAATGGGCGGGCGGTGAACGCGAAGCGTCTTGAATCCACAAGCGCAGAGAGCAGTTCCACAAACCTCGAGGCGAGTTCCGCAAACTCCGCGGGGGGCTCCACAAACCCGCGGGGGGGATTCCACAAGCCCGGGGGGTGGGTCTGCAAACCCTGGGGGGGGGTCCAGAAATCCGCGGGGGGGGTCCACAAGCAGGAGGGGAAGCTCTCTTGGGACCAACTTGGGGCCATATCTCGAAAGCCCATTGGAAGCGAAACGGCTAGGAGGCTAACAACGTCGATTTCCTGGACGTTTGAAAGGGTTGGATGGCTTCTTCGAGGCATCGGGGGGGGGGCAACGCCATTTGGACCCGTGTCGGTTCGGTCTTGGGCCTCTTGAAACATGCTGGAACTCATCCCGAGCGATTTTACCTTGCATTATCTTGAGCTATATTGGAGGTCATCTTGTGCTCTCTGAGGCTCCGTCCGTCCTGGACGCTCCAACGGTTCGCGGCTCTCCAGACTCTGGGGGATGGGGCAGCGGGAGGGGCACCCTCCCGAGGGGAAATGGGGTTAGGGGGAGGGACTTCTCTAGACCACTTACGCCACTTACGCCCAAGGGGCTGCTGGGATTATGCAAAATCGACAAAATTATGCACGCCGCTTCGCGAGATGCACGGCCCGACAATCTTCCATCCACGCGTCTTTCGGGGGTGCCGGGCTTTTTCGGGGGCTGACGTATGCTTTCCGTAATCGTTTTGGGCTTCTTGGACCAAGAATCTTGGTTTTCTGAAATGCCGTCTTGGGGAAGGATTCGGAATACCTTCGGTTTTCCTGGCTCTATGAAAACCGAGCGGGCGCGGATGACGGAAAGCGCGCGCAACGTGCGAGGTTGGCTAGCTGGTTTCCAGGGGTGGCGGGGCGGGGGGGGGCCAGAGTCCCCAAGAGGCTCCCAAGAGGGTCCCCAGACGGCCCACCAGGCCCCCAAGAAGACGGCCCAAGAGGCCCAGGAAGACGAAGATGGTCTAATAAACTGAACTGTTCGGCTTTCCGACGGCCCAAGACGGTTCAAAAGGCCCCGAAAATCGTCCCAAGACGGCCAAACATGCCCCCCAGAGCGACTCGACAATGCCGAAAGAGGGCCCTAAGACGGCTCTAGAATGCCCCAAGACGGCGAAACGAATGCGCGAGGCCCTAAGGCGAGAGCCACAGTTTGAAAACCACCCGCTCTCAATCTGTGGAGCTCTTCCATTTTTTGAAGCGAACGTGCGCGGCGCGAAGGCGAGAGCAACATTTTGGAAGCGAGCCGCCCTGCAATTGGGAAGCCTCAGGATCAGAAACGGTGAGGAAGTATCAGGACAAACGCCCGGCCCGCCTTTTCGACCGGCCTCGGGGTGTGACAGGGAGGAATTTAAATTTTCCATAAGGAAAAAGAATGGAGGAGGAGGAGGAGGAGGAGGAGGAGGAGGACGAGAAGAGGGGGAGGAGGAGGGGGAGGAGGAGGAGGAAGAGGAGGAGGACCAGTGCAAACCCATGACGCATCAACGATTATACTATAACCCCCGACTCCAAGTTCCCTCTTCACAAGCCCCTGCAATCATGTATATTCACTGCTGAAGATGCCCCGCTGGAAGACAACCTTCCGAGAATCTTCAATCTCGCAATTCCTGGGACTCCAACGCCGCGCATCAACTTGACTGCTGCGTCCTGACGGTCCCGAACCGTGCCAAAACACCGCTCCTACAAGCCTCGTCAAAAATAAAGAGAAACGAAGTTGGAAATCACGACGGTCGATCTTCTCGGGCACTCGTTAGAAACTGCGTTCTTCAATGCTGCGGCGGGGTCGTCGGATTTTTGAAGCCCTTGCGTCCACGTCAGATATCTAGCGTCAGCATTGGAGTAGCGCTGACCATACAATCACCGAAAACAGAATCCCTCAGTTTATTTTTGACGAGGGTTGTAGGACTTCACCACTGCAAGTCAACATGACCGTTGCGCCCTCACAGTCCCAAATCGCGCCGGAATACCACTCCTACAGGGCCACAATAATCTCCCAGGAGGTCCACCACAAGAATTGCTCTCATTGTTCAGATGTGTACAACGAATGTGCAACGGCGCTACGGCGAAAACCACAGTTTGAAAAGAAACCGCCCTCCGTCCTTGAAGCTGTTCCAAGCCCTGACGAGCGTGCGCGGCGCGAGGGCGAGGGCCCCGCTTTGAGAAGGGACCGCCCTCACACCGTGAAGCCCCTGCAAACTTTTGCAACACGTGTGCTCGGCACCCCAAGCGCGAGCCACGTGCTGCAAATCGCCCGTCCTCCTCCCGCGAAGCCCTTGCAAGCTTGGAAACCACACGCGCGCGGCGTCAAGGCGAGAACCGCACGTTGAGAACTGCCCGCCCTCCATCCGTGAAACTGCTGCGAACGCGCCCTGCGCTGCGGCGAGAGCCACATCTCGAAAACCACCCGCCCTCCATCTGTGAAACTGTTGCCAACTTTGAGGACGAATGCGCCCGGCGCTAAGGCGTGAGCCTTGCTTTGAAGACGGACCACCCTCCATTCGTGAAGTTCCTGCAAAATGTTAAGGCGAATGTGCGCCGCGCTGAAGCGAGAACCACATTTTGAGAGCCACCCGCCCTCCATCTGGGCCTTGGAGCAGTCATTAACTTCTGAGACGAATGCGCGCGGGGTTCACGCGAGAGCCACATTATGGAAAGGAGCCGCCTCCATCCTTGAAGCTGCTGTGAATTTTTAAGAACGAATGTGGGCGACGCTGAAGCGAGAAACACAATTTGAAAACGGCCCACCCTCCATCCGTGAAAGTGTTGCAGACCTTGGCATTCAGGGTCGTCAAGCGGTGAACAAGTATCAAGCGAAGCGCCTGGCCCGCCCCACCGACCCGCCTCGGGGTGCGACAGGTCGGAGTTTTTTTTGTTCTTTCTTCAGAGGGGAAAGGATGGAGGAGGAGGAGGAGGAGGAGGAGGAGGAGCAGCAGCAGAAGGAGGAGGAGGAGGAGGAGAAGGAGGAGGAGGAGGAGGAGGAAGGAGGAGGAGGAGGAGGAGGAGGAGAGGAGGAGGAGGAGGAGGAGGAGGAGGGGGAGTGCAGGGATGGGGAGGCGGGCCGAGCCCCCCGAAGAGCGACCAAAAACGGGCGGGGCTCCTGGACCAGCTCCCAGCGCCGCGCGCACGGGTCCAGGCGCTCCACGCTGTCCAGCGACTGGAAGCCGTCGCGGCCACCGATCACGAAGATAAACCCCGCGGAGGCCACCGCCGCGGCGGCGCCTCGCCAGGAGATCGCCGCCGCCGCCGCTGCCATGTCTCGAGGGGTGGGAAGCTCGGGGTCGGGACGCCTGCGGTCGGAGGGGCCCCCGCCGTACGCATCCGCACGCCCGCACAGATCCTGGCCGGGTCGATCCTGGGCCCCCAAAGTCGGTGCATGCGCACTCCTGGCCGGGCGAGGAAGCGCGCACCGTGCGGGCGCGGCCGCGAGGAGCCCTCGCAGAACACCCGGCCCTGCAAGGCCGCGCGAGGTGCTGTCGGGGGGGGAGCCGAATGGCACGACGAATGCAGCAGCTCCCTTGGATGCCCGCGGGAGGTCGCCGCGCAGCGCGCGCAACGAAGCGAAGACGCCCGGAGCACCCGAACGGAAAGCACACCCTGGCTTCCTGCTGCGCATCCCCACCGTCCACGCCAGTCCTTTTCGGGGATGGACAGACCCCCCTTTAGTAAAACGTGGCTCAGTGAAAACGACCCGAGGCCCACACCTGGCGGGCGCAAGCCTGGAAAATAACGGCCACGGCGCCCTCTCGAGAACCGAAAACGGACAATTCACTAATCGACGTGGCACTGTTCCCAGACCCCCGACGTAATGATTTTTGCATTACGTCGACCCCCAGAGGTCCCGACCCTTTCCCCATGACCGGCTTTGCATCCCGAGTCGTTTTTTGAAGCTCCCGAGGCCCGGCGAGGGCCCCCGGAGGCCGAAAGTTGGGAAAAACCTCCCGTCATGATTTTTTCATTACTCGAGGGGGTCTGGGTTGGGGGTTCGGTCCACACCCGATCCTTGGCTCGGGAGCGGCAAAGAGGGGGGTGTCCAAGAGGGGGGGGTGCAAATCATGACCGGCGGCATGTGCGCGGCCCAGCGGGGGGGCCAGGGACGTAATGAAATCCGCCGACCCTGTCGGCGTGTGTGAGGGGCTTTTCCGTTCGAGCCGTCATCTCCGTCATTCTTTGTACTCGTCGTCTCTGTCCTTCCCTTTCCCTGGGACTCCTCTTCCCCTGGGCTCCAGCCAAGCCGACCTTGAGCAACCTCGTAATTGAGTCGAAGGGAAGCCCCTTCCCTTTGATCCCTCCCCCGCCGGGAGGGGGGGGGGGGTAGCGACCCCCCCCCCGGGTCAGATACGACGCCCCCCCCTGGGACTCCTCTTCCCCTGGGCTCCAGCCAAGCCGACCTTGAGCAACCTCGTAATTGAGTCGAAGGGAAGCCCCTTCCCTTTGATCCCTCCCCCGCCGGGAGGGGGGGGGGGTAGCGACCCCCCCCCCGGGTCAGATACGACGCCCCCCCCTGGGACTCCTCTTCCCCTGGGCTCCAGCCAAGCCGACCTTGAGCAACCTCGTAATTGAGTCGAAGGGAAGCCCCTTCCCTTTGATCCCTCCCCCGCCGGGAGGGGGGGGGGGGGTAGCGACCCCCCCCCCGGGTCAGATACGACGCCCCCCCCTGGGACTCCTCTTCCCCTGGGCTCCAGCCAAGCCGACCTTGAGCAACCTCGTAATTGAGTCGAAGGGAAGCCCCTTCCCTTTGATCCCTCCCCCGCCGGGAGGCGAGGGGGGGGTAGCGGGGGGCGGTAGCGACCCCCCCCCCAGGTCAGATACGACGCCCCCCCCCCGTACCGACCTTGAGCAACGTCGTAATTGAGTCGAAGGGAAGCCCCTTCCCTTTCCCTTCCCCGCCGGGGGAGGGAGAGGGGGTCCCGGGGGGGGTCCCGGGGGAGTCCCGGGGAAGTCCCGGGTCAGATACGACACCTCCCTCCCCCACCTTCTCGTCCTTCTCCCCGTTCCCCAAAACCATCCCACAGCCCGTGCCTCTTGCTGCGCATTGCGAACAGGGTCGGCGGCACCGGCCGTCAGGCCTTCGCAATAAGAAGAGGCGCCATGAAATCTGAGGAAAAATCATGGCCCGCGCCATGAAATCCCCCCCCCCCCCTAGTCATCACCCCCCTCTTTTCGGCCCCCGATTGGCCCAGGGTGGGCGTGGCCGGGAGCGGTGCTGGCGCACTCTTCGGCGCCCTCGGGGGCGCCCGCGGCTCCGGCGCCCCGCCGCGGATGCCCTGGGGGGCGGCGCCCGCCCGCGCAGCGGGTCGGGCGCCCCAGTGGGGCGGCGTCTCGAGGGGGGGGGGGGGGAGAGGGGAGGGGGGGGGGGGGAGGGGGGGGGGGGGAGGGGGGGGGGGGGGAGGGGGGAGGGGGGGGAGAGAGGGGGGAGAGAGGGGGGGGGGAGAGAGAGGCGTGGGGGGAGGGGGCGGGGGCATGAAGTGACTCTGTGTCGGGCTGGCGCTTGCGAGTGTCCCGTGGGGGCCTTCCGTGTACCGCCGTGGGGGCTTTCTGTGTCCTGGTTGCCTCCCGTGTTCTGGAGAGCCTGTGACATGCCCTTTCGAGGCTCCGAAGAGCCTCTCCAAAGGCTCCTCAGACGCTCCTCACAGGACCCTCAACTCAATTTCCCCTCGGCCCATCCCGCCCCCAACCCTCCTCCCTCCTCCTCCTCCTCCTCCTCCTCCTCCTCCTCCTCCTCCTCCTCCCTAAGATGCTCCCACTATTTTCCTCGCTCCTCCCCCCATCTCCTCACGACTGGTACTGTGTATCTACATACATATATGTATGTCTGTCCGTCTGTCTGTCTGCCTGCCTGTCTGTCTGTCTGACTGTCTGTCTGTCTGTCTGTCTGTCTGTCTGCCTGCCTGCCTGTCTGTCTGTCTGCCTGTCTGTCTCTGTATATAGGTATGTATGTATGTCTGCATGTATGCATGTATGCATGTATGTGCGCGTGTGTATGTATATAGGTATGTATGTATGTGTGTGCATGTATGTATCTCGGCGGTGCCCGGTGCGGAGCGACCCCCCCCCCGGAATCGCTCGTCCTCGGGGTTTCGTGCTGGCCGCACCGCCTGTGCAGGCCGGTACGAAACCCCTGGGATGCACGAAACCCCCCGGGGCCGATGCGCCCCGGTACGAAACCCCCCGGGACGCCCCGCCGGTGCGCCCCGGTGCGAAAACCCCCGGGATGGCCAGAGCGCGGAGCAATGCCGGGGCAGCGCGAGCGAGCGTCCAACGGCGGCGTCGGCGGCGGCGGCGGCGTCGGCGACGGCGGCGTCGGCGACATCCAAAGATCCCCGGAGGCCCCCGCAGCCCCAGAAACTTCCCGGATATAGGGGGCCGGACGTTCTCGGAGCTTCCCGGAAGTAGGGGGCCGGCTTTCCGCAATCGCCCGAAGGTCTCCCTGGGGCTCCCCACCCCTCCTCCAACTCCTCCCCACTCCGTCGCACTCCTCGGCAATCCTCACCGCTCCTCCCGACTTCCCCACTCCATCGCAGTCTTCGGTCCTCCTCGGCACTCTTCCCGCCTCCTCCCCACTCCATCGCAATCCTCAGCACTCCCCCCCGCTCCTCCAAGCTCCTCCCCACTCCATCGCAGTCCGCGGCTCTCCTCCCAGTTGCCCCAGACTCCTCCCCACTTCATCGCCCTCCTCGGCACTCTTCCCGACTCATCCCCACTCCGTCGCACTCCTCACCGCGACAACAACGCTGACGACGACGACGACGACGAGCAAGACGACGACGAGCAAGACGACGACGACGACGACGACGACGACGACGACGACGACGACGACGACGACGACGACCACGAGGACGACCACCACCACCACCACCACCCCACGCCCACAGGGGGGGCGGGGGGGGCCACCACGCCACGCCCAGTGGGGGGGGGGCCCATCGCGCGGGGGGGGGCCGATGGCATCAGCATGAGGGGGGGGCCAGACCCTGGACCATCTATCTCAAGTCCGTCCGTCAATCCGTCCATCCATCCGTACCTCCATTCATCCATCTAGTCCTCCCTCCCACCCCACGCCCACGCCCCAAAGACCCATCCCCCTCGCTCCCACGCAGCCCCCCCCCCCGCCCCCGACAGGAGCCCCCCCCACTCCCACAGGAGCCCCCCACCCCACTACCACCGAGGGAGGGGGGGGGGCGCCTGTGCGCCCGGTACAAAACCCCCCGGGAAAGAGGGAGAGGGGGGGTTCCAGGTCGTCGGCGGCACCCGGTGCGCCCTGTACGAACCCCCCCGGGAAGGCGGGGGGGGGTTCGTGCCACGGGGCACGGCCGACATGTATATATGTATGTAAATATGTATGTATGTATGTATGTATGTATGTATGTATGTATGTATGTATGTATGTATGTATGTAGGTAGGTAGGTAGGTAGGTAGGTAGGTAGGTAGGTAGGTGTGTATGTTGGTATGCATGGCATGTATGTACGTATAAGTATGTATGTATGTGTGTATGTATGTATGTATGTATGCATGCATGCATGCATGCATATATGTATGTGTGTATGTCTGTCTGTCTGTCTGTCTGTCGGTCTGTCTGTCTGTCTGTCTGTCTGTCTGTATGTATGTATGTATGTATGTATGTATGTATGGAAGTACGTATGTGTGCACGTACGTACGTACGTACGTACGTACATACGTATGTATGTATGTTTGCATGCGTGTATGTATGTATGTGTGTATGCTTGTATGTATGCATCTATGTATGTGTGTATGTGTGTGAATGCATGTATAAGTGTATGTATTCATGTGTGTATGTGAATACGTCGGTATGTGCGTATGCATGTACGTGTGGATGTAGATGTGTATGGTTGTATGTGTGTATGTATGTGTGTATATGTATGTGTGTATGCATGTATGCATGCGTGTATGGATGTATGCATGCATGTATGTCTACATGCATGCATGTATGTGTGCATGTATGTATGCATGTATGCATGCATGTATGTGGTTGTGTATGCCTGTATACATATAGGTGTATATAAATGTGTATATGCATGCATGCATGCGTGTATGCATGTGTACTGTATGTATGTATGTATGCATGCATATATGTATGTATGTATGTATGTATGTATGTATGTATGTATGTATGTATGTATGTATGTATGCATGTAACTATGTCGATAGGTAGGTCGGTAATGTTGTATGTATATGTGTACGTATGCATGTATGCATGCATGCATGCATGCATGTATGTATGTATGTGTACATATATATAATAATAAACATAATTATAATAATAATACATATGGGGTTGGTTGGTGTCCCGTTGGGGTTTACCGTGTCCCCCAAACCTTGGCTGTTAGCTTCTCTAATTACGTCCCGATAGGTCTTTGTGAGCCAGCACTTTCTGGGCCCAATCTATCCGACGATTTGTAGCGATCCGTAAGTTGATTTGAAAATCACGCAGTGTTCCACTTTGAAGCCTGGGCGTTCCCATGAAAGACACTGTTGGCCTTGCTGTGCCTGCCACCACGTGTGGATACAGATCCGTCTATCATGAATGGCCTCTGCATGGGCTCCAACACATCGGCCAATGCAACATATTTGCAGAGCAGCGAGTGCACAGCAATGCAAGGAAATACGCAGCAACGCAAAACAACGCAAATCAATACTGTCGGGCTTGATTGGAGAGGACACGCGAGAGGACACAAGAACCTTTCGAGGGCCACATCGCCGTAAGAATGTAGACAGCGTGGGTCGCGAACCACAGGATACAAGGCCAACGCGGGACCGCAACTGTTACAGCAATGGGTTGACCGATGTTGTAGCAATTCTTGGAAGCTCATGTGGAATCTCATGTGCGTGTACGAATCTCTGCGCGTGCGTGTGTGTGTGTGTGTTTGTGTGCGTGTCTGCTTGACTTTCTCGCCTCGTCGCTGCGCGCGAGGCCGCGACCGCCAAAAAGTGTGTATATGTGTGCGCGTGTGCGCGTGCGCGTGCGCGTGCGCGTGCGTGTGCGTGTGTGTGTGTGTGTGTGTGCGTGTGTGTGTGTCCCACGCGCGGGTATGCGCATGGCACAATTGATCCCCTCGAGTGGATCCCTACCCCATCTTCTGCAGGGGCAACCGCGCGCGTTCAACGCTTTGCTTCTCCCGGCTTTCTACGCCTCGACGCTGCGTGCGAGTGTGTGTGTGTGTTGCCGTTGCCGCCTACCCCTGCGCCTCGTTTGTTGCCTCGGCTGCACTGTTGCCCTTTGCCTCCCGTTCCTGGTTCCCCCTCTTCTCCCTGTTTTCCCCTTTGCCCCTTCCCTCTCCCCTCGCGACTGCCTCCTCGAGAATATCGATGCCAATCCCGTATGGGCGGATCCAACTTGTTGTCCATGCTGCGTGAGCTGGCCCTGCCCGCGCGCGTTCGCTTGACTTGACCTACGCCGCACCGCCGCGCGCGTGGCACCGACACCAAGAAGTGTGTGTGTGTGTGTATGAATGTGTGTGTGCGCGTGTGCGTGTGCGTGTGCGTGTGCGTGTGTGTGTGTGTGTGTGTGTGTGTGTGTTTGTGTGTGGAGCCCTGCGTGCGTGGGATCCTGTGTACAATTTGGAAGTTGGCAAGGATTCAAATGGCTTTGAAGGTTTGTTCGAAGTCCTTCCATACTAAACAGAAGTATGGGGGAGGGAAAGCTGGGCAGAACGAGGATGAGGGAAATGAAGGATGTAGGCAAAGGAGCAGACGCAGCAGCAGCAGCAGGAAAAACAAGTATGGGGACCGCTTAGAGTTCGCAGGAATTCCTGGGAGTTGGGAAAACCAGCGCCAGCACCGATACTTCCATGTCTCCCCGCGATTGCCTTGGATTCGGGCAGAGGGACATCGGTGAAGCAGGAACAACTTTATCCTTTCACGTGTTTCCACCTTCATCCTGCGCTCCTCCCATCCTGTTCCAGCTTTTTCATTTCCCCCTCCTGCCCTTCCTCCTCCCAAAGAGCACCCAACCTCCAAAATTGGCGGCTCGCTTAGCTCGCTTCCAGGACGGAGGCGAACGACCTCCAGAACAAAACCCTCGGAACCCAAAGTTCGCGGGTGCTTTGACGACTTGGCATCTCCCCCGCCTCCTCCTCCTCCTCCTCCTCCTCCTCCTCCTCCTCCTCCTCCCCCCCCTCCTGAATCCGGTCGGAACATCAGTGCCGTGAGGAAGAGTACCAAAGAGGAGGGGGACAGTAGATGGACAATATATTCGAACCCTCACACATTCGAGGGAGATTCTAAATCACCCCCGCATGTACGGGAGGAGGAAGGAGGATGGAGCCCTCCCCCCTGCAGACCTGGGCCTGGCGCGGTCCGTCGGGGAGCGCTGTGGCCCACACCCTAAGCAGAGGGCAGGCGCGGCGTCATCCCGCGCAGGGCTCTGGCAGCTGGCCATCGCTCGGACGTCCATTCCCTGTGTTTTTGTTCGGTTTCGCGCGTGGTTTTTTTTTCGCCAATGGATCAAAGATGCTCCTCGATGGTCCTCGCCGAAAGAAAAATGCACACGTCCGAGCGATGCCAAGGCAACGGGGCAAGTGCCCAGCGCGCGCCCGCCCGCTCGCCGGGGTGCCCCCGGGTCTCGCTCCGGCGCAACCTCGCTCGGTCGTCCTCCCGTCTCCCGGCCTCGCTCCCTGCTCGCGGCCCGTCGCCCACCTCCCTCCAAGGCCGAGGGCGCCTCGAGCGTTCCGCATGGGCGGCATCGCCTCCCACTTGGACTTCTCGGGGCTATCCGCCAGCCGCCCGGCTCGTCGGGCTGCGCTTTTGCTGGGGGAGGTGGGCTCCTCCAGGGAGGGGCGAGCAAGATCAGTAGCAAGAGCAGGGGCAAGGAGGACGAGGAGGAAGAGAAGGAGGAGGGGGACGATGAGGAGGAGGGGAAGGGGGAGTAGGGGAAAGAGGAACAAGCAGTGATTGAGGGAGGAGCCAAGGAGCAGCAAGGGGAATTATTTTGGGGGGGCTCTGGTGGCCTCTGGGTTAACATCCTCCTCCTTTCCCCTCCCTCCTTCTCGTCTTCGTCCTCGTCCTCGTCTTCGCACCTCGCTCTCCTCACTCGTCCTGGTCCTCGTGCTCCCTCCTCTAATCCCTTCCTACTCCTCGAGGCGGGGCACTGGCTCCGAGCGACAGCCCGTCCGGATAACATTCCACGCCTCGGCTACGGCGGTGGAAAACAATCGCCAATGATTAGAATCGAAGAGGCGGAAGCACGAGAAGGAGGAGGAGGAGGAGGAGGAGTTAGGAGGCAACTACTGGGAGGTTTTCGCCGGAAGGATCAAGGAGGATTAAGCCACATTTGGGAGCTATTACGCCGGAGTGGGCCTCGGATTCAGCGGGAGTAAGCCGGATTAGGCGGGATTAAGCGGGATCAAGCTGGATTACGCGGGATTAAGCGGGATCAAGCCGGATTCAGCGGGATTTCGGACCAGGGCTAAATCAAAATTTGACCTCCCAGGAGTTGCATCCGAGGAGGAGGAGGAGGAGGATTCGCCTTCCTCAATTTAATCCTCCTGCTGCTCCCGTGCGCAGCCGGCATGTAGACATCACCGCCCTGCCTGGCCGGGACCATCGGAGCATTCACGTGATACAGTTGCCCTCCTGGCCGAGTCCAGGAAGGTCTATGCTGAAGTCGGGCCTGCCCCCCTACAGGCCAATGTTGTACGACAAAATGAAAAAATACCAAAAAAATACTCCCAAATGGAAAAAATAATCAAAACATCGTCCCAAGACTTTTTTTCACTAGTTTTGAATATTCCTCCTGTAGAGGGACGTGCCCGACTTAAGTCTATGCACCATACACCGCCCTGAAACCCACGATTGGGCTGACCAGACACGGTGGTGTATAGAGGCCCTCTGCGGGTCCCGCGGACGATAGATACCGTTTCTTGCAGATGATAGCGGTGACACCTCCTGCTAGGTCGCCCTAGAAGACCCCAAGAATCCGAACGGAAACCCTTCTGAAAGTCTGGTTGCGGGAGGGGCGAGGAGCCTTCCAAGGACGCGAAACTTTCGGAAGAGCGGCCCTCACTGATAACATTGGATGACGTTACATATATCGGGAGCGGCCAAGAGGGGGGTGTCCAAGAGGGGGGGGTGCAAATCATGACCGGCGGCACGTGCGCGGCCCAGCGGGGGGGCCAGGGACGTAATGAAATAAGGAGAGGCGCCATGAAATCTGGGGAGATATCATGGCCCCCGCCATGATATCCACCCCCCCCTAGTCTTCACCCCCTTCTTTGCCGCCCCCGATATAACGCAGCTCCGGTGAAGTCGGTAGGTCGTGCCCGGCCGATCTGCGCCCTCAGCGAGCGGTCCTTCGGCGCCCCCCAGACGGCCCAGCGGCCGTGCCTGAAATTCCGCAAATGGCCCCATTCTCCATTGCCGAGCGCGTCTGCGCCCAGGGCTCTTCGGCCCCCCGCGCCGATTCGCGAGCCTGCCCGGCCAATCATCTCTCCGACTCGCGCTGCCAGGGGGCGCGCGCCTGGTTCTGGATAGATAGAGAGAGAGAGAGAGAGAGCGCAGTCGAAGACATCGCGACCGAGCGATTCCACTGCCGCGGACCGTCCGAGGGCCGCGGGGCGGAAAGCTCGCCCGCTGCTGCCTTGGAAGCGGTCGCGAGCCCGCTGGCCCGCTCGCCCGCGCCTGCGCCACGCCCCGCGCTCTGGGCGGCGGCGGCCGCCAGTGTGGAAGCCATTCAAATGCGCCACCACCGCGCGAAAAAATATGATCGCAAAAGCGCTCTGCACATATCCCACGCCACAGACTCCGACGCCCGATTGGTGCATGGCAGAACAACAACGATAGACGGCAACAACCGCGCAGTCGGCGAGCGCGGCGCAGGCTGCATGTCTCAACCGACAAACGTGGATTCAAGCACCCGGCCACGCGACGAACCATCGCCGCGCGAGAGCGCGCGCATTCAGCTGCGCGAACTCGACGCGGGAGCGGCCCACATCGCGCGCCACGTGCGTCACCCCAACCACTACGAGACACGCGAGGCCTAGTTCCGGGACGGGCAGCCATGCCCTTTTCCGCGCCCGCCCCTTGCAGAGCAATTTCAGTCCATGGGGGGGCCGCCCACTGGCAACGCAACTCGCCCCACCGCGGGCCTCGAGGGGCCGCCCCCCCCCCCGCCGCGGGAGCCCCCCGAGCCTCCTGGGCATTCCACTGAGTCTGGGGGGAAGTCCAATCCGGTAGAAAACAAATCGGGGATGGACAGACCCCCCTTTAGTAAAACGTGGTTTAGTGAAAACGACCTGAGGCCCAAACCTGGCGGGCGCAAGCCTGGAAAATGACGGCCATATCGCCCTCTCGAAAACCGAAAACGGACAATTCACCAATCGACGTGTCAGGGTAGGAGGTCTGTCCACTCCCGAACAAAACTTTTGGTGGTGGTGCGTAAAATGTCGGCTCCTGGGTTGTCCGAATTCTATACACCACCGCCTGCGCGGCCGGCGCTGGCCGCGTTCTCGCGGAGTTCGCTCGGAGTTCGCGCGCTGGTCTCGCGGAGTTCGCGCGGGGCCCTCGTGGAGCCAGCGGCGGGCCCCCGCGGGCCTCGCGTTGAGCTCTCGCGGAGCCCGCGCGGGGCTCCCGCGGGGCCGGCGCGGGGCTCCCGCGTGGCTTGCGCGGGGCCCCCGTGGGGCTCGCGCGGGGCTGCTGCGAAGCTCTCGCGGGGCTCCTGCGGAGCGCTCGCTTTCGCTCTCCCCCTGGGCCCGCCTTGGGGCCCGGGCAGGAGGCGCGCCCCCCGACTCGCGTCGGGCCGGCCCCCAAGATTCTGATCTTCGCGCTGGCCATGCGGTTCCCGTGCCGTGCTCATCCGACGCAATCGCGCCAAACCCGAGGCGCTGTGAACCATCATGTTCCGGCATGGTATCGCTGCCCCTGTGGCCGTCCAGTCCTCCATATAGAGCGAGCAAGGGGCCGTCGCGGATGACGCGCGGCGAGGCCAGGATGCGCGCATCCTGGAAACGCAAGACAGCGATGCCACGTTTCTTCGCGATACTCATGCTATGATCATGCTTCGTCCTGCTTCCAGCTATGCCGAGCCCTTCCGCTCTCCAGGGTTCAACGCTGCAGAACGCTAGTCGAACTCGCAGACGAAGGCCTCGAAGATATCCACGACGCCTTCGCTTCCAGCGAAAGCCGTCGGGCACATGAGAGGGCGAGGGTGGACAGGGAAGACGAAAGAACAACAACGATGAGATGGCGGAACACAGCGCCGCGAAGAATAATCATAAAATGGTGTCGATGTTGACCTCCCGATGTCTCTTGCCTGCTGGCCGCCCAGCTTAAAACCGACATGCCGTGCAAGTGCCCAGTGGCGCTGAAAGCGAGTTTCGTGGCTTTTTCTTTGCCCTTGCCCTTGTCCGTGCCGGAGCGCTGCAGCTCGTTCCTCTGGATCCGCCCACTCCTGATCCCCGATGTTTGTCCTCCACCCCGTCCCGAACTTGATCTTCATGGAAACACCCACTAAATCTTTTGTTGAACCCCCACTGCACAAACGCTTCTCGACACCAGACACAATTAACCAGGGGGCAAGAAGTTGGATGAGTTGTTCACTAATTCCAGGAACGGTTCAACCTTGTCCAGGAACGGTTCAACCTTTGGAGACGACCGAACCCTGTCCGCCATCGTTTCGGATCTCCGAGACAGAGTGCCAGCAAGTGCACATGTGCAACACAATGTGAGGATGAGGAGTGTGCGCTCAGATACCATAGTTGGTTAGAAAGCCTCTTCTCGACATCCGTCTGGGTGGTGAATATGGCTCATTTGCCGAACACGGCCGAACAACAAAATACACATTGTTCTTGCCATGTGTAAGGGTCTTGAGCTTGAGCTGGACTCCCAAATGTTCGAAACGATCATCCCGAATGCAACTGAAGATGGTTTCGAATGTGCCCTCGGTGGGTTCGCCGTGCCCTCCGCGACCTGGGTTTTTTGGGCGTTGATGTCCGCATCGATCACCATCTGGCGCTGCTCCATCGCGGCCCATACGGTCAACGCCGCATTGTCGATTCGAGCCGCGTCTGCCTGTACACCGCGAACGTCTCGGACTACTGGTCGTAGGAGTTGCTGAACCGTGTCGTCGTCGACGTCGCAATCGCCTCGGTGATAGATGGGGGGGGGGCCTTGCGGATGCTGGGGTTGCTGCTGCTCCTGCCTTGTCCATGGAAGGCCTCTGGAAAAATAGATGGCGCCTGCATCTGGCGAAAAGATCTCCGATGTATTTCCGGGAGGTGCGGGGAGGCTGAGCCAAAGTCATCCATCCCATCCATCTCTTGGAGCGGGCTGAACTGGCGGCGGCGGAGGTCGCGCCCGAGAGCTGCTCCACCTGGTGTCCCTGGCGGTTGCGTACTCGTACTGGCCATCGGAAGAAAAGGCATGGAAGCGGGAAGTTGGGAACATTGAGAAGAGAACTAATGGTGTGCACTTCGCTGAAGCTTGAGCTTAACAGGTGTAGCGTGGCTTGAGTCAAGAGATCTTGAGCCAAAAACCTGGAGACAACTTGGCAACGTTGGCGGAGGCTCTCACAGCGGACTCCTGGACCTCTCCCCTGGCGCGTTCATGCCAACACTTCGACACGGATCCAGCCGTGTCGACGACTGTTCCCCAAAATGCCCCAAAGGACAAAAACGCAGAACACCAGTTCGGCGGTTCCCCGACCCCCCCCCCACTTACCACCTTCCTATCCTCCCCCTCCTCACCATCCATATCCCCCCAGCACCTCCCCCTCCTCCCCCTTGCTCCCCACTCCCTCAACCTCCATCCTTTTCCCTTTGAAATAACTCCTCCCCGTTGCACCCTCAGACGTGTCGGTCGCGCAGGCCGGGCGCTTCGCCTGAGACTTTCTCACCATGTGTGTGGGCCTGAAGCTTGCTTGAAATTTGCCAAACCTCTTCCTGGATTGAAGGCGGCTCGTTGTTAAGATGTGGCTCTCGCCTCAGCGCCGCGCGCATTCGTCTGAAACATTTCAGCGATTTCACAGATGCAGGGCGGGCCGTTTTCAACATGTAGTTCTCACCTTAGCGCCACGCACCTTTGTCTGAAGAGTTCGCAGCAGCTTCAAGGATGGAGGGCGGCTCTTTTCAAAATGTCGCTCTCCTTTGGGCGCCGCGCACATTCGTCTTAAAAGTCTGCGGCACTTTCACGGACTCGTAAGGTTGAAGTCCCAGGACTGGTGTGCTGGCACGGTGTAAGACAGTCAGGACGCAACAATCACGCTGATTCGCGGTGACGAAGCCCCAGGAGCTGTGTTCTGGCACGGTTTAGGACAGGACTATGAGGACGCAACAATCACGCTGATCCGCGGCGCTGAAGTCCCAGGAATTGTGTTTTGGCACGCTTTGGGATTCTCAGACGGTTGTCTTCGAACGGGCCACTTCCCGCGGTGAATCACCAAACCCTGCAGGGACCTGTGAAGAGGGAACTCGGAGGGAGGGTGCATTGCAGCATCGCTGATGCATTCTCGATTCGCACTGACCCTCCTCCTCCTCCTCCTCCTCCTCCCCCTCCTCCTCCTCCTCCTCCTCCTCCTCCCCCTCCCTCTTCCCCTCCTCCCCGCTCCTCCTCCCTCCTCCTCCCCCTCCTCCCCCTCCTCCTCCTCCTCCCCCTCCTCCTCCCCCCCCCTCCCGGTCTTTGCAGCCCTTAACGCTTTGCGTTTGTCCAGTTCCAGTTCCAGTTCCAGGTCTTTGCAGCCCCCGCCCTCCCTCCCCCGCCCGACGCCCTCCGCGCGCGCGCGCGGTGTGACGAGCCCCGCGCTCGCCAGGCACTGCCCCGCGCTGCGGACGCCGCCGATCACGTACAGCACGCCGTTGGACGCGACGGAGGCGCAGCTCTCGCGCGCTTCCGTCAGGGGCGGCCCCGCCTCCGTCGACGGAGGGCGTGGCGGAGAGAGAGAGAGAGGTGCACGGAGAGGACCCCCGTCCCATCCTTACTCTTGTTCCTCCTTGTTTTTCTCCTCTGCCTTCGTTTTCTCCTCCTCCTCCTCCTCCTCCTCCTCCTCCTCCTCCTCTTCCTCCTCCACTTCTTCCTCCTCCGCATCATCATGCTGTTCCTAGTTATGTTCCTCTTCCTACTCTTCCACCCCCTCCTCCTCCTCCTCCTTTTCCTGTTCCTCTCCCTCTTCCTCTTCCTCTTCCTAGTCCTAGACTCCTATTCCTATTCCTATTCGTATTCCTTTCCCCATTATTACTCAGATTGCTCTTCCTCTTCCTATTCCGATTCCTACTCCAATTCCGATTCCTAGTGCTATTCTACTCCTGTTCCCAAACATAGGCCGAATCCTAATCCTCCTCCTAAGTATCCCTACTCCTACTCCTCATCGTCCTCCTCGTACGCCTCGTCCTCCTCCACCTCCTCCTCCTCCTCCTCCTCCTCCTCCTCCTCCTCCTCCTCATCATCATCATCATCATCATCAGCAGCAGCAGCAGCATCAGCATCAGCATCATCATCATCATCATCAGATCATCATCATCATCAGCATCAGCATCAGCATCAGCATCATCATCATCATCATCATCATCATCATCATCATCATCATCATCATCATCATCATCATCATCATCATCATCATCATCATCATCATCATCATCATTATCATCATCGCATCCTCCTCCTCCTCATCATCATTCTCCTCCTCTGGGCCTTCATGGGGAAGCCTCGGTCGCCACGGCCGGATCCGTCCCGAAGGTTTGGTCAAAACGCGCTCCCGGGGACGATATCGAGACGTCGACGCCGTCGTTGTCGCAGTCGTCCTCGGGGAGCGACAGGGGGCATGAGGAGGAGAGGGGAACAAGGAGGGGGAAGATGAGGAGGAGGAGGAGGAGGAGGAGGGGGAGGAGGAGGAGGAGGAGGAGGAGGACCCGAGTAAACCCAAGATGCATCAACCGATGCTGCAACACGCCCTCCCATCCCAGCTCCCCGCCTCATACGTCCATACAAGATTTCCTTTCCACTGCAGGCTCCCCCCCCCGCCTTTGAATGGCCAGTCAGACGAGGGCGCCTGCTGTGAAGGGTCCCCCGTCCACTTGAAGGACGCCCAATGCGGCCCCATTTGAGAAGCTCATGCCCTCCATCCTCGTGGGGTGCAAAACCTGGGTCCGCTCATCTGCCCACACGTCCCTGAGGATGCTCGGCTTAGTGGTGGTGGTTGGCCTTCAGAGGAGGCCCTGGTCACCACGGCCGAATCCGTCTCGAAAAGTTGGTCAAAAGGCGTTCTGGGGACGATTTTGAGAAGTCGACGCCGTCGTTGTCGCAGTCGTCTCAGGGAGCGACAGGGGGCATGAGAAGGAGAGGAACAAGGAGGAGGAAGAGGAGAAGGAGAAGGAGGACAAGAGGTCACCCGAGATGAATCAACCGATGCTGCAATACGCCCTCACATCCCAACTCCCCGCCTCATACGTCCATACAAGATTCCCTTTCCACTGCAGGCCCCCCCCCCCTTTGAATGACGAACGGCCGGTCGGTCCGCCAGTCAGTCGAGGGCGCTAGCTGTGAAGGATCCCCTTCCACTTGAAGGACGCCTAGGGTAGCCCCATTTGAGAAGCTCATGCCCTCCATCCGACCAAGCGCTGCAAGCTTTCAAGATCATGGACGCTGCGCCCGTCGCTGGACCGTGGCACTCTGCGGCGTGCCCGCGACACATCCGGCACGTCACTTTGGTGCATGAGGGAGGGGGCATTGGGAGGAGGAGGGCGTGAGGGGGAGGGAGAGGGGGAGGGAGGGAGGGGGGAGGGAGGGAGGGAGGGAGGGAGAGGGGGAGGGAGAGGGGGAGGGAGGGAGGGAGAGGGGAGGGAGGGAAGGGAATATAGGGGGCGAGCGAGGGAGAGGGCCGAGAAAAAGGGGAGGCATCCTGGGCCCGCCCGCGCCGCCACGCCGGGCGCGAGGACCCCGCGGCGCCGTCTGCCCGTGCAGGACGTGCCCCCACGGGGCGCTGCCGGCCGTGGGGGCGGCCAGCGCCCGGCCGGCCGCGCTGCCCAGCGGCACCCCGAGGGCACAGCGGCGGATGGGGCGCCGTGTGCTCGTCCTCCCTCGGGGCACGCCGTGCCGTCCGGGACCCGCAGGCCCAAAGGCACTTCTTTAGTCAGCGGCCGCGGGCGAGCGCGCCGGCGGCGTGTCAGGTCGAAGCGGGCTACGCAATCAGGCGAAGGACACGCGGGAACCGCAGGCCAGGCACGCGGAACGGCACGACGAGGGGCAGGGGAGGGGCACGGAGAGGCTCGGCCCCCCCCGCTTGCGCGTCGCTGATCGTCGCCGTCCTCCTCCTCCTCCTCCTCCTCCTCCTCCTCCTCCTCCTCCTCCTCCTCCTCCACTGGGGCAACCACCAACCAGGAGCGTACCTGTGCCAGTGCCATCTCGAGATAGCCGCGGGCCCCCAGCATCCTGGCGGCATCCCCTGCAGAGAGGTCCGACCCACCAATGTCAGCATTGTGGCGAAGGGCCGCAATCAGTGTATCGGTTGGTCACTGCCACCTTCCAGTCCCCCCGTCCATCCCCTCCTCGCCTTCGCACTCATCATCACTCGTCGGCACCCTCAACGATCGTCCCCACCCCTCGCGGCCCTCACATTTTACTGACTGGGGAGGACGAGTTCTGTCACTGCACCTCGGCCCTGCACTCCTGCGCGCCGCCTCCCCCCAGCACACCACGCCTGCCCAGTCCCAAGCTGGAGTGCCCAGCGCACCCCTCGCCCCTCGCCATCCACCCCGAAGGGCCCCTCTCCCCCCGCCCTCTCGTCCTCTCTCCTCTCCCCTGGTTTCCTCTCGCTCTCCCCCTCCCCTCCCCCCTCCCCCTCCCTCCCTCCCTCCCTCCCCTCCTCCCTCCCTCCCCTCCTCCCCCCCTCCCTCCTCCTCCTCCTCCTCCTCCTCCTCCTCCTCCTCCTCCTACTCCTCCTCCTCCTCCTCCTCCTCCCCCTCCTCCTCCTCCTCTCTCCTCCTCCTCCTCCTCCTCCTCCTTCCCTCTCCTCTCTCCTCCTCCTTCCTCCTCCTCCTCCTCTTCCTCCTCCTCCTCCTCCTCCTCCTCCTGCTCCTCCTCCTCCTCCTCTCCTCCTCCCCTCCTCCTCCCCTCCTCCTACCTCCTCTCCTCCCTCCTCCGCTCCTCCTGCCTCCTCCTCCCCTCCTCCTCCTGCTCCTCCTCCCCCTCCCCCTCCTCCTCCTCCCCCTCCTCTCCTCCTTCTCCTCCTCCTCCCCTCCTCCTCCTCCTCCTCCTCCTCCTCCTCCTCCTCCTCCTCGCCTCCTCCTCCTCCTCATCCTCCACGGCCTTGGCATCCGCCCCACTTCAGGGCAGCTGGCCCCCGGGGCCAGGCGCAGAGTCCGACGCCCTCTCGGCTCCCGCGGCCACCTCCGCGGGGCGGGGCAGCGCGCCTCCCAGACGCAGCTCCTGGAGTCGAAGCGCTCCACCGTGCCCAGGGTCTCCGAGCGCTCGTCCGCGCCGCCGATGGCGTAGACCTGGCGGCGGGCGACGCCCCGCGACGACTCCGACGACCACGACCACGACCACGATGAACGGCCGCGGCACCGGCCCGCTCTCTCGCTGGCTGGACGAGCGCGTTCCGCTACTCGCAGAGTCACTACTCGCAAATGGCATGGATCCGCCATGGGAGATTTGCGATAGATTACATCGATGCGGGCCCGGTTTTTTCCGACGTTTGCGAGTAGGCACTTTGCAAGTCGTGGAACGCGCTCGGCGACTGGCAGTGGGGCTCGCAGAAAGGCCGGGCATCCGCGCGCGGACTCCCCCCCCCTCCTGCCTTCCTCCCCGCCCTGCCTCCTTCCCCCTCCCGCGAGGGCCACGGGCTCCTCCTCCTCCTCCTCCTCCTCCTCCTCCTTCCTCCTCCCGACTCTGGGCGTCGCGACCTCAGGCGCCCCGAAAATTGCCCCAGATAAGGAACGCCTTTGTCTGGCCTCGCACTGAATCTCGCACAGGAAAGCGGAACCTGGTGTATACGGGATCCTGGTGTATACATTCTTCGTTGCTTCCCCGGGAAGACGGGGAAAACGTATAGACGTCACACCACCCCGACGTCGCCCCCGACCCTCAAAAAAGTCCTGGGACAACAGAAAACACCCGCCACTGGTACAGTCGGGGCCTTGACCTAAGGAACCCAAAATAAGGACGAGGCCCCTTTTTTCCACAAGTTGAACTTCGATCTCCCATCGAAAACACAAAAGGAAAGCCAGAGGCAAGCTGTGAAACACTCAAGGAACGCGGGGAGCCCCTCCCCAACGAAAAGGGTTCCTTCTTCAGGGCCCCGACTGGGACAACAAGAAACACCCGCCACTGGAAATCCGCGCGGAACTCCGGGTTGTTATGTTTATGCCACTTTTTGTTGCCTTATCTCTGTTCCGCAGTAAAGGAGGAAGGGGGCTGATACCCTCCAGGCGGGCCGCGTCTGACCCCCCCCCCCGCGGGAGGCGCCCAAATCAGACCCCCCCCACAAATGAGGGAACAGAAAGCGACAGAAACACCCGCCGAGGGTCGGGGGTCCGACGAGGAGGGCGAAGAGAGCCCAGTAGATTGCGCCCGTGCACGTGCTCCAGGGCGCCAGGTGGTCCGTGCCTCCGCGGCGAGGCCTCCCCGGCGAAGGCGCGTCGTGCCCGCCCCCCCCCCTGGGCTCTCTTCGCCCCCGGCCGCCGCCTCCGGAGACGGCGCCCCGGTCGCCGTCGCTCGGGCGTCCACTTCCCGTGCTCCCCTCGAGCTCGCGCGTGCTTTTTTTTTTTTTTTTCTCTCGCCGGATGATCGAGGATGCTCCTCGACGGTCCTCGCCGAAGGAACACTCTGTTGGAGGCCTGGGACTGGGCACCAACACCAACACAGGGGCTTTGCCTCCACAGGGGGAGGATGATCCTCGATGTCGGTGTTGGTGGTAATATTTCGGCCACCCTGGAGGCCAGGATATTACCACCATCGCCGAGATCGGGATCTTCGCCCCTCGGTGGAGGTCACACCGCCGAAATTGGTGTTGCTGTCAACCTCTAGGCCTGCGAGAAGGAGCACTGCACACGTCCGAGCGACGCCAAGAACCCCAGGGGGCCAGAAGCCGCCAGAAGCCGCCCGCAGCGGGTGCGGTCGAGGGCCCGAGGGCCCGCGCCTCCCCGTGGGGGAGCCCCCGCGCGCCTCGGTGATGGACCCCGGCCCGAGCCGCAGCGCGAGGCCTCCGCAGCGCTGGCCCCGGCCTCCCCTCGAGGAGGTGCTGGACTCGCCCTGTGGACTCCTCCCCCTCCTCCTCCTCCTCCTCCTCCTCCTCCTCCTCCTCCTCCTCCTCCTCCTCCTCCTCCTCCTCCTCCTCCTCCTCCTCCTCCTCCTCCCCCCCCTCCTCCTCCCCCGAACGTCAGACGCTGCTGCCGAGGAGGCTCGCCTGGCGGGACGGCTCCCCGCTGGGGGCGCCCGTGCAGGCCTCCCCCCCCCCCGCCTCGCGCGGAACTGGGCGATGCGCGCGGCGGGCCTCTGCACGGCCCGGCGGAGGGCCCTCGCCATCGCTCGGACGTCCATTCCCTGTGTTCTTTTCGGTTTCGTGCGTGGTTGCTTCGCCAAAGGATCAAGGATGCTCCTCGATGGTTCTCGCCGGGGGAAACATGCACACGTCCGAGCGATGCCAGGTGGACTCGCCCTGTGGAGGACGATCAGTGGGGAGGAAGCATGTCGCCAAACAGTTCCCAGATGTCTGGAACATGCGTTCAAGGCGTGCAAACATGCAAAAAGCTTGCTTTCAACATCACCAGGGCACTTTTCCTACATTTCAAACACATCTTTAATTCGATGATAGGACTGTTAGGGTGTCCATAGTCGTGGCACCCACAAGACTCGCCCTTCGTTCTTGACGCAGGCCCGGCAGCCTGGAAGCTTCGGAACCTCTGGGCTGCCGCTGCTACCGTTGCTCCTCGTCCGCCTTCTCCTCGCCAGCCCTTCTCCAGGTGTTCCATCCCTCGAGTCTCACGCGCCTGGTAACGAACACTCTTTGGTCGTAGCACCAGAAGTGTCCGCAAGCAGGTCTGTGCGTTTCGCGTCCGTGCGAAAAGCTCGAAAATGCCAAGATCTGCACAGACGGATGGCGGATTGTTTGTTACATCTGCGTCTCGCCCGATACGCATTTCCGAGAAAGATCCCAATTCTTAATGGCGGGTTACTTTTTATTCCGCTTATCGTTCGAGTACGAATTACGCTATTACTTTGTACGGACCTGAAAGTTAAGCATTCCGTCTACACACATGGAAGGCGGACGGTTTTGAAAACCTCGAACTCGTTAGTCATTTACATCAACGCTTGTATTCGAACTGTTGGCATTCCAACGGTGACACGGATGGAAAGCGTGCCTGAGGTTTCCGCGAAGTACCTGCACGGACTGCAACCTACAAAGACTGCCTTGTAAGCCATGATCCGCCACCGTGACGTGGGCACTGAGTGAAGTGCTCCAAATCCCTCCGAGCTCTCTGTATTGAATTTTGGTGAACCTTTCAAGAGACCATGGCTCGAACTTCGGTGCGGGCGTTTCTTGGCGCATCTGGAGCGGCTCGCAAGTTTTTGGTTCAAAGACTTCAGGAGGGCAGTTTGGATTCCACGCTTCCAACATGGCTGAAAGTTGTCCCAGGGTCCTTCCATGTCCTTCCTGGAGGCCTCTTGAGCCATCTTGGAGGTTCTGGGTGTCACCACGAAAAAAACAAAAACCATTGAAGCGGCACAGCTTTCTCAATGATTATAGCTTTCTCGCCTCTTCGGCCCGAGAGGCCCCCCCAGGACGGCACAGGAAGCCCCCACGAGCGTTCCGAAACGGCTTCCACCCCCCAAAACGAGGACCAAGCTGTCATTGGCGGCGCGCACAAGGGGGTAGGGGGAGGGGGAAGGCTTCTTAGAAGGAGACTGCTTCTTAGAAGGCGCCGACCTTACATCTACAAAGAAGGCCCGCGCCTTCTAAGAAGCAGGGGTGCTTCTAAGAAGCCTTCCCCCCTCACTCTACCCCCTTCTGCGCGTGGCCAGTGTCAGCCGTGGTCTTCAGGCCCCCCAAACACACCCGACTCGATGCAGAACTCTGCCAAGGGACCTCATACCCTGGCTGGCGCAGGGGGGCCTCCGAGGCCCCGCCCCACAAGGGCCCCGAGAGAGCCCCAAGACTGTATGACCGAAATGGTACAGGGCAGTTTTTAATACGTGGGATGTTTTAAGATATAGGATCTTTAATACATGGCTAATTTATGAATAAATTTATGCACGAACTCATCGTTGTGTTTAACACTGAATCCCTGCATCTTTAATACATGATCCGCACGCGGCGCATGTACAGAAATTGTTCACTGCGTGGGGCTCCCCATATGTGCATCTATTCGCATGGACCTGTCCGCCGTGAATGTCTAGGCGCAAGAGCTTTCGAATATTAACGGGCTTCAGTTGTGACGGTCTGGACATCAATCTAACTGCGAATGAATTGGAGTGTGAATGAGCCTCAGTAGTACGAGCGCGTCTCTGTGCATGAGCCTGGGGCCTCCTGGGGCCTCCTGAAACCTACTGGGGCTTCCTGGGGTCTCCAGGAGCCTCTTGGGACCTCCTGGGACCTCCTAGGAAGGTTTCGTGCCCCAGGGGAGGCGCAATCTATAGCAACAGACGTACATAAAACATTGCGGATTAGAGCCACAGGAGAAGGGCAATCTATAGGAACACGCGTAAAACACCAAGGACTCGTGCCCCAGGAGAGGCCCAATACATAGGAACATGAGTAAAACATTTAGGATTGTGTACACAGGAGAAGGACCATCTATAGAAACATACGTAGAACATCAAAGAATCGTGCTCCAGGTGAGGCCCAATCGATAGGAGCATACGTAAAACACATGGGATTGGAGCCACTCCTGTTGCCTTCTGAGGCCTCCTGCTCCTGGGGCCTCTCGGGGCCTCCTGTTGCCTTCCGAGGCCTCCTGGCGCTTCCTGTTGTCTCCTGGGGTCTCCTGTGGTTTCCTGAGGCCTTCTGGAGCTTCCTGGGGCCTCCTGGAGCCTCTTGGGACATCCTGTGGCCTCTTGAGTCTTTCTGTGGCCTCCTGATGCCTCCTGGGACCTCATGTGGTCTCCTGGAGCCTCCTGGAGCCTGTTGGAGCCTCCTGTGGCATCCTGAGAAGAATCTGCGCCCACGAGCCTGGCCACCAAAACTAGCAAACCGATCGAGACATCCTCAAAATCTGGCCCACCTGGGGGTGAAAATGAGCGCCTCGCTCGAGACATCCTCCAAATCTGCTCCGAAAGCGAAGGATGTGCAAACCGCCTGAGACATCCCCACAAAATGGCGCGAACGAGCCCGTGCAACCACCCCTGGCGGCTCCCCTTAGGGGTGCTGAAATGAGCGCCTCGCTCGAGACATCCTCCAAATCTGCTCCGAAAGCGAAGGATGTTGGGCACAGAAACAGGCAAACCGCCTGAGACATCCCCACAAAATGGCCGCGAACGAGCCCGTGCAACCACCCCT